CGCCCCCGGGGCGGGGCGGGGGGAACCCGGGGGGTTGGGGTCCCTTGCCAGAACCGGAAAAAAAAAAAAAAAAAAAAAAAAAAAAAAAAAAAAAAAATGCCCTGGGAGAGATGCTTCTTTATTCCAAGTCAGCTATGTCCATTAAAAACAAAGCACCTAAGCATAAGTCTTAGTATAAAAATAGGTGCCTACATGTACTGCTAGGTGGAGAAATGACTCTGAGATTGTATTGTTGCTCCTAGTATAAGGTCTCATTTGTAAGATTTTTATGTTTTTATTATTGTTGTTTGGTAGCTGGCCAGTATAGGGATTGAACCCTGAACCTTGCTTGGTGTTATCAGCACCACTCTCTAACCAACTGAGCTAACCAGCAGCCCATCATTTGTAAGGTTTTGAAAGTTTGTTCTTCAGTTCTTCCCAGGTCTCTCTCATGGCCCTCCTCCTTTCTTCCCCCATCTCCTACTTCCATGGTCTTTTTCCGATTCTGCTACCTAAAGCTTACCTGTTCGGATTGGGAATTATCTTCTAGCCAGTTATGCTTATTTATAATAGTACTCAAACCCATTAATATTAGTTATTATGTGATTTCCTTTTACACTTTTTCTATTTTCCTTTAGTAAAGGAATTTTAGGCCTTAGAGAATGGAAGGACTAAGAGAGGGACCTCAAACTTACTAGCCTAGCTGTTATGTACCTCAGGCTATGCTAAATGTATCTAGTGTTCCTTCATCTTGAAAAGCACACAAAGATTCCCCAAACCTCTGAAATAGAGTATCTTTTCTAATTTACAGAGGAGGAAATGGGCACAGAGCTAAAGTAATCTGGCCGCTAAAATTCATTGGATCTCAACTCAGGTCTTTCTTACCTCACAGTTCATTTTGCTCTCTCTACAATATTCTGTATTTATGATTAGAAAAGAGTTTTTGTGGGGGTTGTGGGACAGGAGAAGCAAGGGTGGGATGTCAGGGAATACCCCTGAAACCATTCTAGGCCTCTGTGGCAGCCCTTGGAAGTGAACCTGATTTGTAAGGGAGATGTGGAGGGAAAGGAGCTGAAGGACCATGCCATGGCTTCCTTCCCCCATAGGTCTGGTTCCATGGGAGGCTTAGTGAGGTTTCTAGGAACTTGGGGTAGTGGAAGCCTGGGTCTTTCTAGTGCTACATCTTCTGGGCTATGATGTGGTGCCTGCTTTGTGCTTCCAGAAGCCTGTTTGTCTGTGTGCAGCTCTTTCTTCCTTGACATAATTGATGTTCTCTTATTAGTGATTCTTTTTTTTTTTTCCTTTTTGTCTTTTTTCGTGAACGGCAACGGATCGCAACCCTCAGTGTCGCGCCCATACCGGACCGGACTGGGACCGGCAACGGGATCGCAACCCTCGGTGTCACGCCCGCACCTCGCTCAGCCAGTCAGCGGCCGGTCTGTATGTGGGATCCGAACCCTCGGCGGGAGTGCCGCTGCACTCCCAAGCGGCACACTGTAGCAGTGCGCCACCGGGCCGGCCCTTATTAGTGATTCTTTTTTTTTTTTCCTTTTTGTCTTTTTTCGTGAACGGCAACGGATCGCAACCCTCAGTGTCGCGCCCATACCGGACCGGACTGGGACCGGCAACGGGATCGCAACCCTCGGTGTCACGCCCGCACCTCGCTCAGCCAGTGAGCGGCCGGTCTGTATGTGGGATCCGAACCCTCGGCGGGAGTGCCGCTGCACTCCCAAGCGGCACACTGTAGCAGTGCGCCACCGGGCCGGCCCTTATTAGTGATTCTGAAAGAGTCTTCTTGTTGTTACCTGGCTTTATGGGGACAACTGTAGTAACCAGTTTTTCTGTCCTGGCATACTGATTTGACTCGTAACTCAGTTGTTTGTATACATTATAGATATTTTGGGTGGACTTTTATTTATTTATTTATTTATTTTTATTCCTTTTTGTCTTTTTTACTGACCGGTAACGGGATCGCAACCCATGGTGTCGCGTCCGTACCGGGGACCGGCAACGGGATCGCAACCCTCAGTGTTGCGCCCACATTGCGCTCAGCCAGTGAGCGGGAACCAGTCTCCACATGGGATCCGAACCCTCGGCGGGAGCACCGCCACACTCCCAAGCGGCGCACTCTCCAGTGCGCCACCGGGCCGGCCCTTGGGTGGACTTTTAAAAACAGTTTTATTGAGTTAGAATTCACATACCATATAAATTCATTTTTTTGGAGGATTTTTAAAGAGATGTTAATTTATTGAGGCATGGAGCCTCATATTTGAAACTATTTCTAAGCCACACTGTTTGCATAAAGGAATTTTGTTAGTGGGAACAGCAGGTGTGTCCCATCTTATTAAATACCGAAGGACTGAAGTGGATCCATTGCATATTTGATTTTACAACTACCTGTGTATATGATCAGCAAATTTCATATGAATACTTTTAAGGCAGTTGGGGTATTATACTTAAGTTTATTTGCAGGTTATTTTGATTCTGACCAGACCTGAGCAATGTAATAGCATAATGAAATTCTAGTACTTTTAAAATATGGGAGCTCAAGAAAGGGGGAAAAGAAAACTATCTGTATATATATTTATACATACCTATGTGGAAGATGCAAAGACTCATACTGGTATTATTTGTACAGCTGCTGCCTCTGGGCCCTCCCAGCACACCCACGGCCTCTTCACTGTTGCCCTCAAGTTCCGTGTCTCCTTCCCCTGCCCCTCAGTCTCTGTCTCTGCAACTCCCCATAGTTGGTTATTTTTTATTTGGGGTATTAGGCATGTATGGGGAAGGGAGGGTGTTCTTCCCAACCTTGGGTCCCAGCTCTCTTCACACTGTTAACTCCACGTCCCTTTCTCCAATAAAACGAGTCATTCAGATGTGCTTATAAAATAATAATAATAGTAAGATGTGAGAGCCTAGCTGTAATTTATTCATAACTACTTTGCTTAACCTTACACCTTAGAGTTATTGGACATAGCCAGCTAGTACAAAGATTATTGCTTTGGTTTGTTTATTTATGAATATACTTATATTTGTCCTAATAATACTGTTCATTGTTGATATTCTCTTACAGATGTGAGAAGGGTGTTATGTCTCTGGTGAATGTCAGGAACTGTATTCGCTTCTATCAGACTGCGGAGGAGCTGAATGCCAGCACACTGATGAACTACTGTGCAGAAATTATTGCAAGTCACTGGGTGAGTGAGAGATTGAGGCAAGGGGACAAACTCAGAAGACCCAGGCTTGGGATCTATTCCTTGGAAAGTTATCTCTCTGGCACTTAGTTTTTCTCTTGTTAGAAAAATTGAAGGATAAGTAGTTGGATTAGATGATCTATGAGACTCTCTTCAGCTCTGAAAGTCTGATTTCAAAGTAGAGGGGCAGAAGATAGCTCAGGTCCAGAGATGGGTTTGGAAGGAAGGGACACGTGCCTTCACCCTGCATCTGTGGAAGCTGTGGCTGAGTGCAGGAGCAGGGAGCACTTTGGGGCCAGCAGGCCCTGCGGTTCCCAGCTGCAGCATTTCATAGCTTTTCTGTGCTTTCTCCATTTAGTGGAGAGCATTATTAAGTTTAGATTTGCCTTTTTTCGGTAGTTTTTATCATAAAGAACAGTTTTTACATTTCTTTGTTGTTTGCTGTGCATTTTTTAAAAATCAGGGCTAGTTCTGGGTTTTATAAACTAGTTTCTGTGAACTGTTTTGTATTCAGCACATTGTGAGAAGAGTCCTAGTATTTCAGAAGAGGTGTCTAAAAGAACCGGGTTTTTAAAAATTGACACAAAGTGGTAGTCTTTCTGCTAAATTAGGTAGAAATATAGAATCTTCAGTAGTAGAGATCCACTTGGACTCAGTGAAGTGAATTGTTTGTGGAAGTGCCGATTAATTCTGAAATTCCCATCTTTGTGGGGTTAGGAGGCAGAGGACTCTATCTCACGTAGAGGGCTCTCTCATGGCTCAGCTTGTGCCCATGGTGCTTGTGCTTTACTGTCTCACTGAGAGGCGTAGCAGTGCTGTGGTAAAGAGCACGGGCTTGGGAGGTAGACCTCTTTGTTCCAGATCCTGACTTGGGCATTTACTCACTGAACTTGTGTAAGTTATATAACCTCTTTATGCTTACTTCATCTGAAAAGTAGGGATGATAATAGTACCTGCCTCATAGGGTTTTTGTAAGGCTTAAATGAATTGGGAAATGTTAAGTCCTTAGAGTAGGGCCTGACACATTCTAAGGGTTTAATAAATGACAGTTGTTGTTATTGTTAATACTTTGTTTTGCTTCTCACTGTATTTTTTAATCCTTAGGATGACTTAAGAAAGGAGGACTTCAGTAGTATGAGTGCTCAGTTGTTATACAAAATGATCAAATCCAAGACGGAATACCCATTACATAAAGCTATCAAAGTGGAGAGAGAAGATGTGGTCTTCCTTTATCTAATTGAAATGGATTCACAGGTACCATAGCTGCTTTTTCTGTTTTTTTCGTGTCTTTTCCCAAAACTGTAATGCACTTACTTTGCTCTGTAATGCTCCTCACTTCCTTCTGAGCCATCACTTGCCAGTCTTTAATGTACATATTTCTACTAATAGTTTGTTCAAGGCAGTATGGGCTTTTTCTGTCATGTTCCTCAAAATTCTTCCAGCCTTAGCCCACTGACCAACTCCAAAGCCACTTCCATATTTAAGTGGATGTTAAAGCAGTACCTAACTCCAAGTACCAAAATCTGTATTAGTTTTCTTTTGCTGCTATAACAAATTACCGTGAACTTAGTAGCTTAAAACAACACAAATTTATTACCTTACAGTTTTTTAGGTTGGAAGTCCAGTACAGGCATCACCAGACTAAAATCAAGGTCTCAGCAGGCCGTGTTTTTTTCTGGAGGCTGCAGGGGAGAATCCATTTCCTGCTCCTTTGGGTTGTTGGCAAAATTTAGTTTCTTGCGGTCGTAGAACCAAGGCTCCCTGGTCTTTGCTGGCTGTCGACTGAGGGTTTCTCCTGACTTCTAGGGGTTGCTACATTCCTTAGCGCATGGTCCCCTGCCTCCATCTTCAAAGCCAGCAGTGGCGGATCTAGTCCTTCTCAAGCCACATCTTTATGACATATTCTTCCCTCTTTCACTTTAAAGACTTATGTGATCAGATAGATTGAGCCCTCCAATAATCCAGGATACTATACCAATCTCAAAGTCCTTAACCTTCATCGCATCTGCAAAGCACCTTTTGCCATGAAAGATGACGTATTTATAGGTTCTGGGGATTAGGATGTAGACATCTTTGGGGGGCTGTCATTTTGCCTACCATGCCACCTTATAAGAAATGCAGTTGCTCTTGTCAGGTGAGAGTGAATTATGTTTTATCCTGGGTGTCCAGTATGCAGGGAGACATTAAACTGCTAGGAGGAATTAGGTAAGCCACAGCCTTTCATGAAAACATAGGCTGTTTTCTGTAAAGCTCTCTGAAACTGCCCTAGTGCTTGTGCCCTACAGCACTCTGTCTACTTTTCCCCCATGGTCCTTACATTGCCTTCCATGTTGTTTACGTCTGTTCTGTGATCTCTGTTAAATCTCTGCTCCCTGAAAGCACGTGAGGAAGCCTGATAGAAGTTTGTGAATGAAGTAGAATTTGGGCACTAAGCAGTGTCACAGCATTAAAATTTGACATTTGTATAAGAGATGATATTTAAGGGTTTAGGTGGGAGAAATTAAAATAGATTGTATTCTCCACTGGCTGGGTGCTAATATACAAACTTATCTGTGCAGCTCCCTGGGAAGCTGAATGAAGTGGATCATAATGGAGATCTTGCATTAGATCTAGCTCTTTCACGACGACTAGAGAGTATTGCCACCACACTGGTTAGTCATAAAGCTGACGTGGACATGGTAGACAAGAATGGCTGGAGCTTGTTACATAAAGGAATCCAAAGAGGTAGGAAGAAGTGTATTTTATATTTTTGTCTGCAGGCAATTTTATTTTTATCCAAGTAATTTTTGAAGACTCTCTGACCCTGTTCCAGAAATTCCCCAAGACTCCTTCTTGAGCCTGTACTCACAGGCTACATGATTTACAATTTGTGATCATTGGGTCAGAGGAGGAGGGACAGAAGAGCTGTTGCCTATGCCTTGTGAGTTTGGCCTGTTAGAAAGGCTAGAAATAGAAAGGTGGTACTTTGAGAAGAAGTACCTTTTACTTATATGATAAGTTTACTTGCTATCTCTTTTTCCAGGAATTGTGCTAGGAAGACTTTACTTTTGTATCTGTGATACAGAAGTATCGACAAATGTTTAATGTATTCTTAGGTTCAAGGCTTTCACTTTTGTGGACTAGACTTTTATAATGGCAAAGTGATGAAGTTTTGTTTTGTCCTAGGCATGTTATTTGAAATTGTAGCTATATTTTGAGTACATTGTCAGTAGTAGGAAGAATACGGAAATGATAGACTTGAGAGCAAAAGATTTTAATTAATGAATTAACTTTTCAAGGGGAAAAAATGTACTAGTTTATGATTTTGTTTTGTTTTTTTAATGGCCTTATTAATTCATTAAGTCCCTGCCTGACTACTTTCCAATGGTCTTTTTTGACAGAGTGAGAATCTATGTAGAGGTAGAGTTCCAGTGGAATAAAAGCTTTCAAAAATGTCAAAGCCTTAATTTTGTAGAATAGTTGACTTTACTGAAGTGCTTTCCCATGGCCACTTTTTTCTGGTTAAACATGGATATCAAAGACAGGATGTACTGGTTTCATCATCTCTTAATTATGCATACTTTCCCTTTCTGATTATGCATTATTATACTGTTATTGTCTCTGCTCCACTTTTGCCATTCACAAGTTGCTTCTAGTTGGTGGAAAGTACGTACTGCACGATGTGGTCCTGTTGCAGCTGTAGCTTTGGACTTTTTAGGCAAAGGTTTTAATATAAATATCTTTCTAAGCTATGTGTTAGAGTGTTGAGCTTGCTGACTGGTAGAGAGGAAAATTTTGCTTACCTTTAGGTAGGAAATCCTTAGAGTATGTCAGTGTCAAGAGCAAATGCATTTTTCCCAAGCACCACTCTGCACTGTGCAAAGCCATTGGTGCTTAGCACTGGTTGTGTGTTCAGTGGGGAAGGTTTCCACCACATAGGGAATTATTCTTTCCCACACTGTTTAGAGCCTGAGATGTTTATTTTGGAAACATACACTTGTTACTAAAAAAAAATCTGAGAATTATGTTTCTTTCCTCTCAGGGAGTTAAATTCTGATTTTTGATGCAAAAACATCTCTAACAAGTTATTAAATATTTTGGTGATCGCTTATTACAAGAATTGCCAGGAATTGGTGATATATTTATGATGCTTACTTTCAAGTGATTTATTCTTGCACTCTGAATTTATCAGTTGCCTGCAAGCATGTGGATTACAGTGTGTGTATAATGAACTTGATTGTTGCTAAATTTAGAGTGTGTGGCATGGTTGGTGGACAGAGCACTGACTTTGGAGCTTGGATGTATCATGGTTTGAATCCTGACTCATCTATTTAGTCTGTGGCCTTGGACAAGTCATTTGACCACTCTGAGTCTTTTCGTCATCTCTAAAGTGGGAATCATTTCTGCTTTATGGGGTTGTTGGGAGAATGAGAGACAGTGTTAGTGGGGCATCTAGCATAGTGACTACCAGTTGACTGGAAGGCTCAACCCAGTGACTCTTACCTTGCTCTTGTGTTGGAGTGCCTTAACCAGATTCAATTCTTGTAGGAATTTATTTCACTTTTCTTCATTCAACTTGAGCTGTCAGTCTGACCTGCCCAAATAACTAAATTGAATAATATACCTAAACTTAACTGTTAATCTTACTTTAGGTTCATTATAATATGTATAAAGGTCTTTAATATATGAGATTTAGCTCTAGTTCTGGACACACATTAGAATCTATAAACAAAACAGTCAGCTTGTCTGAGGAATGAAATAGGCAGCCAGAGTCTGTGGGTTAGTTCAGTGGAGGCCGACATATGGCCAGAGGCAGGCCATCTCCTTTGAGTAGTCTGATTTGGGCAAGAAGATGGGTCCTTGCTTTCGTAAGAAATCTAGTTCTTCCTGTACTTTTTTTTACCTTAATAACCAACATCTATCGATGGGTTTCCTAAATAGGATGCCCCTGTCCAATTATTTATAGTAAATTTGAATATGATGCCATCAACTGAAGTGGCATGAAATATGGTTTTTATTAATTGAATAATGAAGGTTAATGGGTGTTCCCTGGGTAAAACTGTCAGGGAGGGAGTTGCATCGAAAGAAAAATTGTATGTGGATTTTTTTTTTTTTAGTGTAACTTTTTTGTCAGTAATAGTTTTGTGTGGATTATTATACTAATGCCTCATTTACCTGGCAGTGTTAGTATATGTGGTGATGAAATAACTGAAACTTTTAAGCACCAGTTTTTATTTTAACTATTTTTGATACAACTCTTTCTAAAATGTATTATATATTTTTTTATTGACGGAAACCTTATAAATGGTGCTTTTGGTGTTTTCTATTCCCTCCCTTTGTTGTGTTCTTTTGATGTCAATTGCCTTTTTCCTTTAGCTTATGTACCCTCTGGGCCAACTTACTTTTTAATTTTTTTTTTTGGCAGCTGGCCAGTAGGGGGATCCAAACACTTGACCTTGGTGCTGTAACACTGTGGGCTGACTTTCAGTGGAAAACAGCATCAATTTTCATTTTCCAGTAATTCCGAAATAGCTTTTTGTGTAGAATGCATATATTTATGTACATGTACATATCTGTATATAGGTATAAGTAAGAAAACATTTATCTTTAGATCTTTTTAGTAATGTAAATCTAATCTAAAACATGTGATTCTTTTAAGAGGGCTTAAGATAATGATTTTTATTATGCCTTCTGTCTGAACCCAACTGTTCATAGGTTTTCCCTATTTCTGTGTGTAGTATTGCCCAGTTTATCTTCTGTAAGTATGGTATATTAGACATTTTTCTTTTACCTATATGTTTATCTCTTGGTTTGGAATATATGCCAAGCTTAAAGGTAATGAAACCACATCATCCCCCTCCCCCAAAGTACCTTATATTTTGGACTTTTCATTAAGGCTCTTTGTCCTAATAATTCTAAATTTTCTTTCTATTTCCGGAATGTAAGTGGCTTTCTCTAGGATATTTTGTTCTATTGCCCTTTTTTTTTTTTTTTAAACATATTCTGTCCTGGATTGACTGTATGTGAGGTTTGTTCATACTACATATTAGGACCCTGCTATGTATATTGTATATAAGGATAGCAAAGGCTTGACTCAGTCTAGCCCCTGATATGCATGTTACCTGTTGCTTTCAATGCTTTACTGACATCCTGTTGTAAAAAAAAATCTAAGCTTTGGCCCTTTGCACCAATGTTGGTAAAGATGTTTGGCCCTTTGCACTGATGTTTGCACTCTTCTCCTCCCCTTCCCCAAAATATAGGGGTGCAGAATAAATGAAAATATTTTAGGAGAAGGGACTGGTTAGAGAAGTCTTAAGTTACCTGCAGTCGTAATTGATTGAAATTGGAGCCAGTCAGTTAAAGTGGAACTCAATAGCCCTGACCAGTCAAGTCGCTTTCTTCTCAAACAGTTCCTCAGGGCCTGTTTTGTATAAGACAGTGGTGGATTTAAAAAAAAAAAAATCAGTCATGGGCCAATCAGCATCTGAGGGGCCCATGGCCACTTAGCATAAGTGACTTCGTAAGAGAGAAAAAAATCACTGCTAGAAGTTTTGATTCTAAGGAGTCTGTATCTACAGTATTAACAGAAATAGGAAGAGATTGAAGTGTCCTTATGCAAAGACAAAAGCAGACCAGCTGTGGAAAGAACACCATTGCCTATGATCAATATATTAACAAAGTTCGAAAGCACCTTCAGCAACCTGGCATTCATCCCAAGACTGCCAACAAGTCTAAGTATAGTCAATGATCATAGAACCAGCAAATCAAACTGAGAGGTTGTTCTGCATTTGGGGGATCCTCTAGCTGAGGGAAGACATGATTGGCAAGAAATTCATCCTGTAGACCTTGGTGAAATGGAGACTGAATCTGCAGAAACTACCTCTGACTCCTGGATGAGCTCTTGAGATAACATAGATATGTACACCCATCAAAGGCACACATGTGGATTGTAAAGTTGAGAATGAGTGTGATTTGGAAGCTGTTTAACTGAATACTTGAAAGACTTTCTAGGTATGAGCTAATTGGTGTCACCTGGAGGTCACTTAGAGAAACAATTGCTTCTACCCAGCTAAGTGGAATGCCTCAAAACATTTATAACCGGAAGTTTCTCTGTTCATTATCTTATGGTTTATCATTCTTGCCTTATTTTCTTAAGAAACATAAATTTTATGTATAGCTAGTGGTTTTGAATGTTTTAAATTGTGAATATAGTAAATCCAAGGAGGACTGTATGTTAAGTAATCTTAAAACAAACTACATACAACAGACTTAATTGCTTATTCTCGGTCATTATCCCAGTTAACCTGACAAGTATACTTTAACCGGTTTTTCAGAAGTATTTTTTTTTTTCTTTTTGTCTTTTTTCGTGACCAGCAACAGATCGCAACCCTCAGTGTCGCGCCCGTACCGGGCCAGGACCGGCAACGGGATCGCAACCCTCGGTGTTGCTCCCGCACCTCGCTCAGCCAGTGAGCGGCCAGTCTGTATGTGGGATCCGAACCCTCGGCGGGAGCGCTGCTGCACTTCCCAAGCGGCGCACTGTAGCAGTGCGCCACCGGGCCAGCCCCAGAAGTATTTTTTTGTGTGTGTGACCAGTAAGGGGATTGTAACCCTTGGCTTGGTGTCACTCACACTGCGCTCAGCCAGTGAGCGCACCGGCCATCCCTACATATGATCCAAACCTGCGGCCTTGGCGCTCCCAGCACCGCACTCTCCCGAGTGAGCCACGGGTTCGGCCCTTTCAGAAGTGTTTTTAACATTAAATTGCCGCTTATCAGATTGCTTAGTTCTGAATCTAACCATGTATTTGTGGAACCAATCTAGAGTCAGCTTCTCTTTACTGGTATCTGACAAAGTATGTTTACAATTGTGCACCTTTAATATCATTACGTAAACTTAACTTGGCCTTTTGTCAACATGTCAGGGTAGTTTCTTTTCCTCATACAGAGTATGAATAGTCAAAGATAGTGAATTGAGCTATTAAAATTAATGGATTTTTATGTAAGTTATTCAGTCTTAATTTGGTGTTTGTTAATAATCCTAGGTAGACTCTTCACCTGTAATACTCTTTCCTAAGAGTTAATGCTATGGAAGGGATTTAGAAAGAACTTTTGTTTTTACAACCAGTTAATTCACCATAAAAATTTTTGTAAATAATAATGTGTACAGATACTCTGTTTAAATTTGTAAACTTCTTGTTAGGACTGTTATGTTTATATGTAATGAGATTGCAAAACTACAAAGAAAAGAATACGAAAATAAATCAAACATGGGCTTACTGTTAACAGGAACCTGTATGCAAGTACAGCAGGTTGGGGGTAAGTGTTGCTTAGGTACAGACTGGTCAGGAAATGGGAGAGAGAGATAAATTGTGCTGGAGAAGTATCTTGGAAGCCCCTTTTGAGAGGCGATGACCAGAGAGAGGCCTTTAAAGATAGAAGACTCATATTCTCAAAATAGTGAAGCTATATTGATGTGAGGAGGCAGGACAGATAGGAAGAGGTAATAAAATATTGAACAAAGCCTTTTGAATTAGAGTGTGTAGCTCCGTGATCTCAATGATGAGTTTCCATTTACAGGTGTCCTGAGAGGTTCCTTCGGACACACCTAGTTGTCCCTCTTCTTTGTCTGCAATTATTGACTACTGCCTTTTGAGGAAACATTCGCCAGAAAGAATAACTTGCCCTCAGTCTCATCACATGTTACCATTTTTTCTATTATTTCTTTTCAAGGAGATCTCTTTGCTGCCACTTTCCTCATTAAGAATGGGGCCCTGGTCAATGCTGCTACATTGGGTGCCCAGGAGACACCGTTGCACCTTGTGGCATTGTACAGTTCAAAGAAACACTCAGTAGATGTGATGTGTGAGATGGCGCAGATTGCAGAGGCCCTCTTGCAGACAGGCGCCAACCCCAACATGCAGGACAGCAAGGGCAGGTAAGTTGGGAGCAGATAGACTGTGCCTTTAGCACTGTTTCCAGAAAATTATTTCGTGGCAGCAAGTAATTGGTATACAAAGACTTAATTGTTCTTTAGCTTGACGTTATTCTATCTTATTTTCACTGAAGTCACAAACATTGATTTGCCATGCATATGAGTGTCAAGACTAAGGCCAGAGGCATTTGGGGAGAACATTTCCATCATCTTCATGCTAGAAGGGCCTGAAGTGGTCATCTAGTCCAACTCCTCCAAAGGAACCTTCTTTGAGTATTTTTAAGAGTTGCTTGGTTAGTTTGAAGAAGAGGCACACACTATCTCAAAGCAATCTGTTTTATTTCTATGAGGTCTAATAGTTAGAAAATTCTCTACAGTAAACCCAATTCTACCTTCTTGTAAATACTCCCACTTGAGACAACTCTTTATCTGCACGGCTTGCTACCTTTTTCCATAGCACAGCCTTTCCCATATTTGACAGTATTTGTTGTGTTCCTTTTGTTGCTTCCCAGGAACATTTAGTTGAGGATTCCTTGTGGTTTAGAATCTAAGAAAGACCTGTTTGTTTGGGGGACAGCAGTGTGGGAGGCTCTGAAGGGAAGTTAAGCCGCCTGAATCACCAACCACAGGTGGGATCCACTTATCATCATAGCAGTTCTATATTTTATACCTTTGAAAACTCTCTCAAAAATAAGAAAAGATTTCTGTGAAGTTTGGTTGCCAGGGGCTGGCCAATTAGCTCAATTGGAGTGTGGTGCTAATAATACCAAGGTCTAGAGTTCTATCCCTGTACTGACCAGCTGCCAAAAAAAAAAAGTTTGGTTGTCAGAATTAGAAAATGGATATGTACATTGGATAAAGTAATTAAGTAATGGTTCTTCAATTTTTTTCTCCAACTATAGTGAACTCTGGCAGTCCGTCTGAGATAGGTGATAGCTTCAGAGGCACTGTGCTCTATAGTAGCAGTCTCATTCAGGGAACTTGAGTGCTAAATAAAAGCAGTGGAGAGAGGTTAATTGCCATTTTAATCAATCCTTACATGTTGCTACTCTTTTAGTATGTTTGAGTATAACAGAAAATTATGGGGAAGAAAAAAGTTTCTTTTCAGAATTGGTGGAGGGTAGGTAAGAGAAAGTATGCATACCTATGGTAGATACTGCTGTTTTAGAAAAAGTTGGTATATGCACACTTCGTAAGAGGTTAATATTGAATTGAAGAGTAGTTTATATCTTTTCCTTTTACTGATTCTTGTCCTTTTTGGCCACTGAATAAATGGTAACATATCTTATGTTTTGATATTTGCTCATGGTTTTGGAAAACTGTTGCAGAAATGTGGAATTTCTTGTGGGTGGTCATTGTGCTTAGTATTCTAGTCACCTCCTGCTGCGAGTAGTCCTGAATTGAGCCTGTCCTGAATTGATGCCTCTTTTTTTGTCCTGCAGGACTCCTTTACACTTGTCCATCATGGCCAGGAATGAATATGTGTTCAATCAGCTGCTGCAGTGTAAACAGTACGTAGGGAGACATGGAGAAATGAAAAAGCAGTTGTGAGGGTGGGATTGTGAGTGAAAAATAATTTTTTTAAAAATGTCTTTTAGTGTTATAAGTTTTAATAAAGTAAAAGTAAAATAAAAATTTGTCATCCAAAAAGTATAAAAAGAAAGAATGAGGCTGTTGGCAGTACAGTGTCTGAAGGTGATGATATTTGCTGTTCACATTGCTTCCTTATTTCAGATTAGATTTAGAACTGAAGGACCATGAGGGCAGTACAGCTCTGTGGCTTGCAGTGCAGTACATCACTTTGTCCTCTGACCAGTCTGTAAACCCCTTCGAAGACCTCCCTGTAGTAAATGGGACTTCATTTGATGAAAACAGCTTTGCAGCCAGACTCATTCAACATGGCAGTAACACCGATGCCCCTGATACGATGACAGGTAAAGCGTAATAGATCGCTAAGAGATGATGCTGAAGTCTGGAGGCTCCATGAAATATTGTGTAAATATTTGTACCAAAAATTTAGAAACTGAGTGGCATAGCTATTATGAGAATTATTTTCTACTTAATTTTAAATACAGTAAAAGCCTGGGTTGTAATTATTTTAAATACTGTGCTTCAAACAAGTTAGCCAGACATCAAGTTAAGTTCTTTAAGCTGAAACACTTCCATTTATCTAATACAGTGATTCTCAGATTTTTTGAACTCAAAACTCCTTTTAACCTCTTAGAAATTATATTACAAAAAGCTCTTGTTTGGACCGTTTATATCTTTGATATGTGTCATATTAGAAATTAAAACTAAGAATTTTTAAAAAGGTATATTAATTTAAAAATAACAAACCATCATATGTTAACATATAACATTTTTTATGAAAGATAAGTTCCAAAACAAAATTCAGTTAGAGGAGTGGCTGGTTTCTCTTTATTTTTATTCTATTTATTTATTTTTATGTTTTTTTAAAAATTTTTTTTATTGAGTGGCTGGTTTCTTACACCTGCATCTGTATTCAATCTTTTGAGATACTTATTTTGGTTAAATACAGTATTTGAAGAAAATACATGCTTATGCAGTTGGAAAAGGGGGGCATATTTTCATAACCTTTTCAGATAATTGTGGGTATATTTTATTTGATGCAGCAAGTAAAATTTATGAAGTGATAGTTTCTTTAATGTTGCTTGCAATGTGGAATCTGAAATCACATCAATGAACTTTATCCATGGTCCGTTTATGCTTTGAATGAACCGTTTCTCTATGCATGATTTTGTAACATTATGCCTTAGTCATTTAGAAAATATTGGTTGCCTGAGTTATGAAGATCATCCAAATTTTCATGTATTTTAGAATCCGGTATCACCATTTGGAGTGGTGGGCAGCTGGCTATTATGGGAATCTGAACCCTGAGCTGGTAGTGGTTATAACACCGTGCTCTAACCAACTGAGCTAACTGGCCAGGCCTCTTGAAAGTTCAGATTTTATCATTGGGTATAAATACTGTCTAATTGTTTTTCTTAAAGAGACAGGCCCACTTTGTTCATTTTCAAGAAAAAGTTTACCAGGTACTTATGTTTAAATAACAACAGTATGTTAATCCGTCATTTGGTCAAGTAAAAATGTTTTTCTATGAGAAAAGCTGCTAGTTCAGCTCACAATTTAAACAATGACACAAGAGCTTTCCCCCATCAGCATTGTATTGGTATGTAGCAAAAGTTGCTTTATGCATATTTGTCATTTTGTCACGCAGAATTTTAAAAAGACATGCACTCAATGTTGGCATAATTAGTAATTTTTACTGCTTTACTGAGGACTATCTTAAGTGAAGCTCTTTCTTTTTTTTTTGTTTACTGAGAGTTCCTGATGGTGAAGAATACAGTAACTACTAGTACATTTTGATGCCACTGTATTGATTTGTGTTAAGGCTCTCCCAATTTGACCCACTATTGCTTTTGCACTATCAGTGCAGATGTCAACACAGTGGGGGGGAAAACAGGTAATATTATTGTGAAAATAGTTTTGACTTTATGAAGTCTTGGAAAGACTCTCAGGAACCCCTAGGAATCTCATAGACCACATTTTGAGAACCATTATTTTAATGTATTTCCTTGATCTGACTGAATAAAAAATAGGGATATTTTAAGGAGAGGGACTCCTATCTATAATTCAGCACTGAGTACTTGCAATGTTTAAAGCATGGGTAGGTGCCACTGACATGGAGAATTGACCAAAAAAAAAAAAAAAAGACGATGACGACGGATATTAAACAGACCCTTTCCTAAAGAAGTTCATGATTAACTTTAAATAAGGGTCAGATGAAATCACCACTGTAGGTGACATAAAAGCTAAAGGGAGTAATACTACAGGACAAGGAGTATGAGAAGAACTGTAAATGTTTTAGACTTGTCAAAGAACAAAACTCCAGCAAATTTAGTTGAAGGTCTCAGTTATCACTTTGAATTGATATAGGTTAAAAAAAAATCTCATTTGGCTTTATTGCAATTTTAGAATCAGGCGACACATTATTCCACGAAATAGATTAAGTGTTCCTATGAGCCAAGCAGAGGAGGTTGGTTTTATAGACAGAAAAAGGCTAATGAAAACAGAAACAAAGAACAAAAAGCGGATTGGTTATTTCAGAGTTACTTTTCTTGTAAGGTGGGGACAGGAAGACAGAAAAATAGAAAAATACTTCAGGCTATCTCTTTTGTGTAAGCATTAAAGGAGAAAGAACTCATTATTATACATATTGAAGATTTTTTTTTTTTTTGCTGCTGGCCAGTAAGGGGATCCCATTGGTGTTACAACACCATGCTGTAACCAACTGAGCTAACTGGCCAGCCCTATTGAAGATTTAAACTGGCTGTTGGAGAATTTGGCTATTAATCTTTTTCCTGACTTCTTGGAAGGTCAGACCACAGCCTAAGTGATGTGGAATTTAGCAAGGGTGACTCCATTTTGATTTTTAGTCTGGTCTTTTGGGACCTAGTGCAGGAACTTAGTCCAAAACAAGGCCTCCTATACATTTCATTTAACAGACTGAAAACCTCTGGAAATGAGATTGTTACTAAATTGCTTTTAATTTACAAATGTATATTGGTCATTGGCCATAATTTTACTGATTTCTAATTGAATCTCATTGTATCATATTGTGTCATGTAAGAGACTGGTTCTTTGATATTTAAGGCTTGAATCTGAGACTCTTACAGAACTAATTTTTATAAAAGTTTGACATGTACTTGAAAAGAATGTGCATTCCTTAATTGTAGGGTGCATCATTCTCTATGTGCATTAAATCAAGATTATTCATTATGCCGTTCAAATCTAACATATACTTATAACTCTTGGACTGCTTGATCTGTCAGTTTCTGAGACGTATATTAAGCATTTTCATTGATTGTGGATTTATCTGTTTTTCTTGCTAGCTCTGTCAGTTTTACATCATATACTTCTAGTTTAATTGTTAAGTACATACATGCTCAGGATTGTTATTTTTTCCTGTTGATTTGTTCCATTTTTCATTTTACATGTAATAACGTTAGTCCCCTGGTTGTCAACAGTTCAATAATGTTTTAGCAGTGACAGGTTATCTTTGTTCTGTTGAAAGGTATACAATTTAAGTCTTGTGTATACTAAAACTGAAAACGGTACTCTTATTATGAGTCTCTAGATTAGAGTGACTATCAGCTAGGGATGGAATTACTTTCTCTGATGGAAAAGGAAAAAATGGTATGAAAACAAAATAGTGCTTTGTCTCATTTCTTTACTTTGTTTTTAGTCCCGGTGTTTAATTTGGATTTTCATATAGCATAGCTATAGAATATGAGATTTTATGTTCATTTTTAGAAATGGATTTTAAAAGGCTCAGAAACACTTTCAGGGCTAAAACTATTTTGAGAGAAAAAGAAGAAAAAAGTTTTTTTGTTTTTTTCTTTCTAAGATTTTTATTTAGAAAGGCATGACAATGCTAAGCAAAATACTTCTAAGCCAAGTACAAACATATTTAAGGCCAAGGCCCTAGGAATAAAACTTGGTATTTAAGGGGCATTCTTTGGTGGAACTTTAGCTTACAATGTCTTTGAAATGGTCTTTTAGCCTAGTGGTTCTCAGCCAGGGACAATCACCCTTCCCCGCCCCCAGGATATCTGGCAACATCTGTAGACATTTTTGATTCTCACAAGTTCAGGAGTCCTACTGGCATTTAGTGAGTAGAAGCTAGGGATACTGCTAAATACTGTACAGTGTGCAGGACAGACCCCCACAACAAAGAATCATCTTGTCCAAAATGCCAGTAGCACTACTGTTGAGAAACCTCGCTCTAACCCAACCCCAGCAGGAGATATAACTTACCTCTGGTCCTGGGCTGTGGCTAGTGGGAAACCGAGGTAAGAGTGGATGTTCCATGTCCCAGTCCAGGGTCTTCCTTAGTTTCCATGTCTGTATGTAGAGAGTGCCGTGTGTGGACTTAAATGACACTTACTATCTGGTGTACTCTTGCCAGTAGTGAGGTGGAAGGGAAGGGCAGCCTGTTGTGCAGTGTGGAACTTGACCTCATTTTTATGCAAATTGATGAATATGCTCATTTTCTGCTAGGAAATTGTTTACTACAGCGGGCAGCTGGAGCAGGAAATGAGGCAGCAGCTCTTTTTCTGGCAACCAATGGTGCCCACGTCAATCACAGAAACAAGTGGGTAAGTGTGACAGGGCAGCCCAGGGAAATGGTTTTGGTCTGCAGAAGAAATGACAGTGGTAGGTGTGTAGGAAAAAAATGGAATAGATGATTTTTAAAAAATTTTTGTCAAAATAATACATGCATATGGTTAAAAAAAAACAGAGTGAAGCACATTCTTTTATGTATCCTTATATATTAGTTGGTTGATTGATTCAGTAACCATTTCTTAAGTATTTATTGTATATCGGGACCTGAACTAGATACTGGGGATTTCATAGTCTAATAGAGATTAGCAAACATATACACATAAAGCTAACGTAGTTGCGTCTTGATTCTTTATAACACTTTGCATCTGCTGAGGTTTTCCTGTGTGGATGTTCATTTAGTTCCTATCCCAAGCTAACAAGGTTAGACAGTACAGTGTTATGGTTAAAAGTATAGCCTTTGGGGTTGGGTATTACTGGGTTTACCAGCTTTCCCATTTCCTCCCTGTGTGATCTTAGGCAAGTTAATTAACTTTTCTGAGCTTTAGTTTCCTCATCTGTAAAATGGGGTTAATGCTAATTTCATAGGGTGTGGTTAAGATGAAAAATTATATCTTTAAGTGCTTATTATGTAATATCTGGGACATTAGGTACTAAGCTATTTTTACTTTATTATTTTCATACAGGAAGAATGTGCTTGTCTTTAAGATCACATTTATTTTACAACTACTATGTGCTAGGAGCTTTCTGGATATTATCCCTTTTAATTCTCACAGTGGACATAGAAGGAGCATGTATTGTTAGGACTGAAGGAACATTTTCCACATCTATAAATCCCTCATCTCAGGGTAAAGGACCTTGAGGTTCTGAGAGGTTAAGCAGCCCATAAATAATGGAGCCAGTATTTAGACCCAGGTACTAGGATATACCAGGGTACTTCAAAGAGTTCATGGAAAGATTTGTATTATCTTCCAATTCTGTTTTTCCACAAACTTCCACAAAGCACCCTCGTATAGTTGTATATTCTCTCAACAGAGCGCTACGCAAGGCAGTAAATAGTAAGCTTGGTATCTGAGACATAGCGAAGTATTGTGGCAGCTCAAGGGCATTGCCATTCTTTTCCACCTTTAAATGTACTAATCTGTCTGCACACGTGGCCTACTCTCTGGCTAAACTGGTGAAATGTTCTTATATTCACTGGACGTAGGTTTCTTTTTGTGGGCTCTGCATTTTATTCCCTCTCACCTTCTCATTGATTTTGCTCCTACCATTGTGTGTCGATGTCTCTGTCTGCCCTTTCTCTTCTGCATCGTTAATTTTGCCCACTATTCATTTCTGATACGATCGAGACATGCTCTACTATTTTCTAACTTTAAAAAATTCTCCCTTGAGAGCCCACGTTGTCTACCAGCTGGTGTTCCTTTTCTGATACCCTTCATAACAAAACTGGATGAGACCTAAGATGTCAAGGGAGACCTGACATGAGAGCCACACTGGAGAAGGGCCTGGAATGATGGTTTAAGATGCTTGGACTTTATCCTGTGGGTTCATAGAAGGGTTTGGGGCAGAAGAGCAGTACGATTATTTTAGAGTTGAGAAAGCTGCCTGGGATGGCTAGCATGGTGGATGTGCCACTGAGTCCAGGCTGGAGCCAGTGGGAATCATCTAGACAAGCCATTGGCACATCCCGACCTCTCATACTGGATTTAGATCCAAAGGGACAGGTTTCAGAGGAATTACAGAATTGTAGTCAATGGGACATGCCTGCTTATGGCTCCCAGAAGCAAGGGCAAGAGAGGTATTAAACTATTGTGGTGTACCCATGAAAAGAAAGGGCAAACTGGCGAGGAGGAAGAACTGATGTGGAAGGGAGAAATTCCATTGCGATGTTGAATTTCTTTCTAAACATTCAGGCAGGGATGTCTAGCAGGCAGTGGGACAATTGGATGCAAAAAAAGGGCTAGAGTCCTGGGTTTGAGGGGTTGAGGCTTGTAGATACTTGCAGAAGCTGTGGGAGTAGATAAGCCCACCCAGTGAGAATGTGTAGAAGAAGGGTTGGAGCAGAAGGTAGCCCTGAGGAGGATGTACTCGGAGAGCCCTCACCGCAGTGACAATACAGCTGTGTGGGGAGGATGTAGGATGGGAGGGCTGTACACAGGGGTCACAGAATGAAAGTGCTCAGTCCTTCCACATGGCAAGGCCCACAGATAATGTCTGAAGCTGGCAAATCAAGAGTCGGCAGTAAAAACGCATCAGTTAGAAATAGGCAGTTACAAAAGCCCAGCTGTGAAAGAGTTAAATGTGGTTCCCTCTAGGAAAGGAGAATTTTTTTGAGGGAAAAGGAGGTGGGATTTGCTGTTTTTCACAACAAGCCTTGTAGAGTTCTTGACTCTTTAAATGATGAAGATGTATAACTTTGATAAGAGCACGGTGCAGAGCAGTATATTCAGTTTGTCTCCCTTTGTTTGGGTGGAAAAAGCCCAATGTGTGTGAGTATACATACATGCATAAATATACATATACACATGCATACCTGCACATATATTTGTATGTATGCTGTGTATGTTTTCCTGTGAATGTTCTGTCACTGGAGAGAAATGTGAAGCTTGTAATAATGGTTCTTTCAGGGGAGGATAATTGGGTGTTTGGGGCCAGGCATGAGAGGAGGCTTCTTTTCACTGTATATTCTTGAACTTTTTGGGTATTGAATTAAGTACCTGTAATACCAATTTTAATATTTTTAATTTTTAAAAGTGGAAGGAGGTCTTCCTTCTTGAACTCTGATCAAAGAAACAGTGGTGCTAGCAGGGAGTTAAAGAGAAGTGATGGTCAGGCTCTCAGCACTGCTTATCTCCAGGGCTGTGACTGTGAGGCTCTTCCGTTTTCTCCAGTATTTATTTTAATGTTTTAGTGACACTTGAGGTTGTTTGTTGTTGTTTTATGATAATAAGCATGTATTATTCTTATAATTAGAAAAGAATAATTATAAAACAAAGTGCAGGGTGGTTAAAGAGGTCGTAGGAGATAAAGATAGGAAGCCAGGGTGTTTGGAAGGTACTTGGGAAGATGTTGAAGAAACTAAGGATGATGGCTCAGGAAAGGGAACAAAAGTCATGGAGGTCAGCTAGTGACAGGATGAGCCAAGGTCTGTGACTGGCACTGGGGACCTGAGTTTCAGCACTTATTATTTCATTATCCCTTTATGAGGGGAACTCCTAGCCTGTATGTGTTCAGATTTGGGCCACTTGTTTCCATCTAGGGAGAAACCCCTTTGCACACAGCTTGTCGGCATGGCCTGGCCAACCTCACTGCAGAGCTCCTGCAGCAAGGTGCCAACCCAAACCTGCAGACCGTGGAAGCTCTACCTTTGCCAAAGGAGGCTGCATCCCTGACCAGCTCAGCGGACAGCATTTATCTGCAGACGCCGCTGCACATGGCAATTGCCTATAATCATCCAGATGTTGTGTCTGTCATCCTGGAGCAGAAAGGTAGGTAGTTTGACTTGTGGACACAATTTGGGGCAGTTAATTACAGAGTTGATGTTTCTTCCATTGGTTAGTTTCATATAGCCAGTTTCTTACCCAAAAACTCCTCTCAGGTCGGGGCCGGCCCGGTGGCGCACTGGATAAGTGCGCCGCTTGGGAAGCGTGGTGGCGCTCCCGCCCGAGGGTTCGGATCCCACATACAGACCGGTTCCCGCTCACTGGCTGAGCGAGGCGTGGGAGCGGCACCGAGGGTTGCAATCCCGTTGCCGGTCCCCGGTCCGGTACGGGGGCGACACTGAGGGTTGCGATCCGTTGCTGGACACGGAAAAAAATAAAAAAAAAAAAAAACTCCTTTCAGGTCAAGCTAGATAAGCATGTAAGTCTGGCTCTTCAATATTGTGTTTCCCTGGTTTTGTTTTCAGGATGACCTGCCCATTTCACCTGTTAAGTTAAGATGTTAGAACCTTTGATTCTACTCTTTTATTTTGGGGTACTTTTCTGGGCCATTTTAGTGTAGGTCAAGCAAAGTTTTGCCTTGGCATGAGTACTGTAATTGCTAACTCTGCTGTGGCAAGTCTTCCATGAGCTGGTCTCTAGTTGTCTCTGAGCCTCCCTGGCAGGTGACTCATAAGAAGGGGGCCAGAAAGAGGAGCCAAGGGAAGCCTCTGCAGTGGGACTCAGAAATTTTCCTCAGGTTTTCTCTTCCTGTCCTGAACTTTGTTTTACTGTTGCCTCAATGTTTGTTAAGACCAGCATTTTTTAGTATCAGGCTGCTGGAGGGAAGTGGAGTTTTAGACAATGTGCCTTTTTCTTGGTCCTCACAGGAGTTTTAAGATTGTAGGAATTATGTATTAGGAAAATATCAGGACATTGTCTTAATCCTCCTTTTAGTAATCAAGTAATTAATATGTGTTTCCATAGTAGAGTCTGTTTTCCTGATGTGAAGTCAGTGTTTTAAGCTTTAAAAAAATTCATTTTCAGGGACAGCCCCATGGCTCACTCGGGAGAGTGTGCAGCGCTGGGAGCACTAAGGCTGCGGGTTTGGATCCTATGTAGGGATGGCCGGTGCGCTCACTGGCTGAGCGTGGTGCAGACCACACCATGCTGAGGGTTGCGATATCCTTACCAGTCAAAAAAAATTCATTTTCCCCATAAGCTTTGCTCCAAAATATCAGATTTTGGGGCTTCTACTCCCCACAAGAAAATTTATCTGTTCTCTCTGTATAACAGTGATTGTGTTATAGCCAGTCAGTTTGGAACTGAGTTCTTATTCTCTTGAATGCTTTGAATATGGTCCATGTAATGGTGAAATCAAATGTTCTTTTCCTTCTAAAAAAATTTAGCCAATGCTCTTCATGCCACAAACAACTTGCAAATTATTCCGGATTTCAGCCTCAAGGATTCCCGAGACCAGACTGTGCTAGGCTTGGCATTATGGACTGGTAAGGCTGTTTGACATCTGCAGACAGACAGAAGTCAGAAAGGCAGGTGGGTCGGTGAGAAAGAGGGAGGGAGGAAGTGGAGCTAATCATTTGGTTGTAAAATAACCTTTCTGTTTGGGTTAAGCCTATAATATCTAGGGAAAAACTGCTGGCTTTGAGAAGTTGAGAGGGCATGTTTGTTGTAGTAAAATGTTGAGGAAGTGGGAAAAGCTGAGCATGCATTAGTTAGGGCTTGTTTACTCCCTAGGCATGCATACGATCGCAGCCCAGCTGCTGGGCTCCGGGGCTTCCATCAACGACACCATGTCAGATGGGCAGACCTTGCTGCACATGGCCATACAGCGGCAGGATAGCAAGAGCGCACTCTTTCTCCTGGAGCATCAGGCAGACATAAATGTCAGGTAGGATAAGACAGCACTCTCTACTGTAACACCAGGTCACATTTAATTGAGATGGTTCAAAAGCATAGCCTTACTGGTAGAAGACATTTTTGTTCTTTATTAAATACAGGAAGGGAAGCAATGACTCTGATTATATTCAGTGTTATAACTGAATATCATCAGTAGACTTGTGTGATGGAGAAGGGGAACTATATTTTGCTCATGTTTGAACCTTTCAGGACCAATTAACAGTATTGCACAAATCTCACTATAAAGTACAATCTAAAAATCAAATTTTAAATAGGAATTTTAGTTATAATGATGATATCCCAACAAATGAACAACAACAAGGCTTGAGGGGGAAAAGTCACAGAGTTAAATTTTTATCGTGATTGTATTTTCACAATGTCAAGTGACCCTGAATGACTGAGTGGGGGAAAGAAGTGTTTTGTTAGAGTGATATTTTATTAAGATGCAGTTAAAAGCAGCAGTATTTCTATTTCTATAAGATTTCAACATGTTGGGATGTTGGTCAGTTATCTTCTGGGTGCAGTAGGGTGGCATGGCTGTATTGTCTAAAAAAATAGAAGGGACAGACACTATTAACATTTAATTTCCCTGAGAAAATACTAATGAATGTGAGTAGAGTATGTTTAAGGGATGCAATGGATTCCGGGTTCTGGAATGCCCAGCAGGGCACCCTTTATCCTTTGGCTCCAGCTACAAACATTGGTTTTGGTTTTGGTGTGCATGTCCTAGCAGGACTCAGGATGGGCAGACAGCCCTCCAGTTGGCCATCAGAAACCAGCTTCCACTCGTAGTCGATGCCATATGCACCCGAGGAGCTGACATGTCCGTGACAGATGAGAAGGGGAACCCCCCACTGTGGCTTGCATTGGCAAGTAATCTGGAGGATATCGCATCCACTCTGGTGAGACAAGTACAACTTTAGCCTCTGTTTTCAGATGGGGATATTTACTGTCAGAGATGGATTTGGTGCCTACGTAGCAATCACAGGCTCGAGAGATCTGCCAAGTAATAAATTGGGTCAAGGATAAGCAGTTGAAAGTCATGTTAAAGAAACTTGCAGGTTCAACATGGTCTTGGCCAATACTTTTGTTCTTAGGCTGTCTTTACCAAGAAAACTACCAAGAAGTGAGAGAGCTGAGGCATTTCCTCAGGAGTCTTCTGTTGGGTTGTGTTAACTAGTTGTGAGCTGCCTTCACCATCACCATAACTTTTAGTCCATTTTGTGTTATAATAAAATACCTGAAACTGGGTAATTTATAAAGGAAAGAAGTTTATTTGGCTTACGATTCTGTGACAGCTGCATCTGGTGTGGGCCTCAGGCTGCTTCTACCCATGGCGGAAAGTGGCAGAGAGCCAGTGGGTACAAGCAGATCACATGGTAAGAGGAAGCGAGAGAGAGAGAAGGTGCCAGGGTCTTTTTAAGCAACGAGCTCTCACGGGAACTAATAGAGCGAGGACTCAATCAGTTTCCAACACTGCCACATTGGGGATCAAATTTCCATATGAGTTTTGGAGGGGACAACACATCCAAACTCCATCAATAACCATAGTGATAAATTCCCAAATCTCACATTTGTCTCCCTTGTTCACAAGACAAGCCCCCAAAGTGGAGGTAAACCTGGAAGTTTTCATTTAGTTCTCTGAGGGGCCTGCAATGTAACATTAAGGCATTTTGTACCTGGGGTTTTACCCAAATGTTACGAGATTTCCTGTTAATTAGTGGTGTGTGTTACTGGAGGCTTATTGGGTACATGTGTTCACAGGCACTTGTGTTTCTTTTTCTTCTAGAACACAGTTCTAGAGGGCAGTAATTAAATATATTTTATTTGTATTTCCCAAATCCATCCCACAGGACTTAGTGCAAGAACTTGCACAGAGCAGCTTTTAATCAGTGTTTGTAAAACTAATGAATGATATAGATTAAAGTGAATTATCAGTTAATTATCAACCATATCTGAGAAATGAGTCTAATGATGTACATAGAGCTCAGAGATGGTGATAAAAATCTTTGCCTTTGCTCGGCAGCCTTTGTGAGTAACCTGTGTTTTTCTGCAGGTCAGACATGGTTGTGATGCCACATGCTGGGGTCCAGGACCTAGTGGGTGCCTCCAAACACTCCTGCATAGAGCCATTGATGAAAACAATGAGTCCACTGCCTGCTTTCTTATTCGCAGGTCTGAGAAGCCCAAGTGTCTCTTGAAATCTTACTCGGTTTATTGCAAACTGGCTTTTGTCTTATTTTAATTCACCTTCAGTCTTGACATGCCTATAGTGGCTTGAATTTCCTAATTAAGACTATCAGAGGGTCACTGTTCTATCGTGTCAAGTCAGCCAGTGGCCACACTCACTTGTGAGTGGAGGGGCTTATATACCCAGATCAAAGAATCTAAAAGCTGAGCCAGCATCCTGCTTTGGGAGCCGCATGGACTCCTATAGTCATGTCAAATCATTTTACACTGTGAAGCCACAAGGCTGGGGTAGAGGAGACTAGGTGGCTTCTGCAGGACCCGACCAAGAAGCATGAGCCCTAATAGCCTGCATGGCCCTCTTAAAGTGCAGGATATGTGGGAGGCAAGGTTATTCAGGAAACTTTTAGTGCAGTGGTTCTCAAACTTTAAATGTGTGTACATCCTCTGGGGAGCTTTTTACAATTTTGATGCCCGGGTTGCCCCCAAGACCATTTGCAGAAGAATCCATGGGAGTGGGATCTATTTATTTATTTATTTATTTATTTATTTTTGAGTGGATGGCCAGTAAGGGGATCTGAATCCTTGACCTTAGTGTTATACCACCACGCTCAGCAAGTGGGATCCAGACTCCAATATTTGAGACCAAGCATAGCAGACCCTCATGACATCAGCGTTTTGGGGGGAGGGAGGAGGTGATGCGGCTGGCCGGTATGGGATTCAGACCTGTGGCTTTGGTGTTACAAGGCTCCACTTCAACCAGCTGAGCTAACCAGCCAGTCCCTATCCTTTTGTTGAATTAGATAAGGCTGCTTCTATATGTTTATTAGCATTCCCTATGGGGTAGGTGGAAGCATGGCCTTCTTTTATTTCCCCATTCCTTTCAGTGGCTGTGATGTGAATAGTCCCAGAAAACCAGGTGCTAATGGAGAAGGAGAGGAAGAGGCTAGAGATGGGCAGACCCCCTTGCATTTGGCAGCCTCTTGGGGGCTGGAAGAGACAGTACAATGTCTTCTCGAGTTTGGAGCTAACGTAAATGCACAGGTATGTAGCTTCTCTTTTCCAGGGAGATAAATGGTAACCTCAGAATTAGAGAAATCTTGCCTTACAGCAAAGGACTTTGCAGATTCCCTGTTTCCAAACCTCTGCTTTGCCATGAACAGGGCTATGGTACAACAGATGAAGTGACGTTCTCTGAATTATACAGCCTGCCTAGTAATTTTAATGATTTCAGGTTAGACTTTACTTCTCTATGCCTTTGTTGTTACTACAGTATGAGAACGATTTGTTTTATCTATTTTTCTTTGTCTCCTGTTCTCCTTTAGTTATAGACTTCCATTGAGAGTTTGGTTTAGTCTCAAACTGTGTACTGTGTTTGAGAAAACGTTCCAATAGCTCGATGGAGCACCCCTGAGTTATGTTCCTTGATGCTTTTCAGTGTTCTAGCCTATGAAGACTTATATATGATGCCCAGTTGCCAGATAAAGAGTGGTTTAACCTTAGAACTGAGGTTGTTGATCTTCTAAAACAAATGTGTTTGTGCTGGGCCCACTGTCGCCACTGGGCCACTGGAGCATGGTGTAATGGGGAGTGGCTTTCAGTCATTTCTACATTTGGCCTCTTTAAAGCTGATTTCAAATGCAAGCTGGTAGTATTGATTCTCATAACCAAAATTTGATTTAAAAGTTATACCCTTTATATTTTTCCTGAGTTTTATCTCTCAATTGTACATTGAAGTCTGTGCCTTGTCCCCATAGGATGCAGAAGGAAGAACACCTGTCCACGTGGCCATCAGCAACCAACACAGTGTCATCATTCAGTTGTTGATTTCTCACCCTGATATCCACTTGAGTGTACGAGATAGACAAGGGCTGACCCCATTTGCCTGTGCCATGACTTACAAGAACAACAAAGCAGCAGAGGCCATTCTAAAACGAGAGTCCGGGGCTGCTGAGCAGGTGAGTGACCAGCACCCACCATTCTCCATGTTGCCTTGAGCAACGTTACCTGTTACATGGAGATAAACAAATGTCACCAACTAAATAGGTCTCTTTCATATAAAGATGTCTTTTTAAAAATTATACTCCCCTTTCTTAAAATGTGGTCATTTAGATGTCCTGGAGGAGGTTTGACTACTCTGCCCTGTGTGTCAGCAACCTGATGATGCCACACTTAGATGAGTGAGAAGTTGCTGGGTTCGGTAATAACAATTCTGTGGCGTGTACAACTGAGTTCATTGTTTGCTTTTGTTTGGTTGTTTAATTGCCCTAGAATGAATGACTTAAAAAGATTTAAATTGATCTTGAGGAGCTTGTGTTGTGATATTGGGGCAACTTTCTGAGTGTTTTAGAGGAGTTAAGTAGTTATTCAGCTTAGCAGGCTCAGGTGTCCTTGTTCTTTGCCATTCTTTACCAGTTGCTAAATCCGATGGTGAATTGTTGGATCTGCAACAACAGATTGGGTAGGAAATGACAGTAACAGCTGACCTGAGGTAGGTTCTGGGATGGGTTTGTCAAGTCAGTCCTCCAGAAAGTTGAATCTCCAGCCAGCACTTAGAATACTGCCAAGATTTAGAAATAGCCATTTATGAAGGTGAAATGGAAACTTGGGACCTGAATGAAATGAAATTCTAGCATGGTTGAAGATTATTGCTTGGTATTTCAGGTGTCTGTACTTCCCCTTTCTTTAGCATTTTTGTAACTGTGGCTGGATTGTGTAGGCATTCACTTCACACTTGCTCAGATAGTGTAAAATGTTCAAGAATGGAGGTAGTCATCTCACGTTTCCTCTCCATCTAGTATGAAACTGGTACTGTTGATCAGAGAGAATCCTTTGCAGATACAGTGCTTGTTACATCAGCACATGCTGTGGACCTGTGTGTGGGGTAATGCAGAGTGTGTGTAGCATGTGGTGTCTCCTCTTCCACCTGAGCACTCATACTAATGACAGCTCTTATAACTACAGTATCCTGTGTAGCTTGATTTGAGTCAGCTTCTGTCTGCTTTACATCGTTGCAGCAAAGTCTGTGACATGCTTTGGCTGTGTATTACCCTATAGCTCAGTAAGAGGAAACTTTCTGAAAATTTCTGAAGTCTTTGACGCTCAGGGGTCAGGCTGGCATTGCAGCTGTGGTGTTAGGATGCTGGGTGCTTTTGTTTTAGCCAAAACGAGGAGACTCTCAAGGCTAGTCTCCACCTTTGCCTCTCCCCAAACATCCCAGTATTATGGTGCCTTCCTGCCCCCGTCCTTCAGGTTGTCTCTTTCTTGGCTTTCTGTATCCAGTTCCTGCTGCAGGAGGATGCCAAGGCAGCTTGGATGAGTGCAGTAGCTCCGTTCCTCTGACCACATGGATGGACCGTGCACTCGTGGTTATGGAAACAAATATGTAGAGTTGGTCTGCTATATGTGTAGGTCTATTGTGTTGTGGGGGTGAGGGGGGTTGGCATTTAATGTTGGTTGTTGTTGGGAGGGAACTTCCTGGAACTAAGGGAAGGACTACGTCATGACCTCTGTAGTGGTCAGTGCAGCTTGCAGGTGCTCAGGAGGCACTCTTAAAAGGGAGCCCACTGACATTTTGGTTCTCTCTTGTTGCCTTAGGTGGATAACAAGGGCCGGAATTTTCTTCACGTGGCAGTTCAGAACTCTGACATTGAAAGTGTTCTATTCCTGATCAGTGTCCAGGCTAATGTGAATTCCAGAGTCCAGGATGCTTCCAAGTTGACCCCTTTGCACCTCGCTGTCCAAGCAGGCTCAGAGATTATTGTCCGCAATTTGGTAAGTGATACAGAAACATTATGGCATGTAACATGTGGATGAAGCATGTTGTAGAATGTGTAGAATCTCATCACAGATGTCTTTCCAGGTATTGGGAAAGGCAGCATGAATTTGGGGGAGTAGGCCAATACACTGAGGAAGACAGGTCTCAAGGGCTACATATCCTAAGTGCCCAGTGAGCTGCATGGGCAGGCAGATGCTGCAGTGGGACCTTGAGGGAAAATAGGATTTAGATGGCAGAGCAGGGTGGGAGCCTAAAGGGAGTGGAGATCCACTTCTGCTGTTTGCCTGCTGTCTGCCAGGTACTCACCTGGGATTTTCAGATGATCTGTCTCTCTTAATTCTCAAAACCACAGAGGGATGTAGGAAATTTTTCATATTTTACAAAGGAGAAAATGTTGGCTCAGAAAGCATTTCCACCCCCCGACCCCCACCCCCAAGGCTATCAGCTAGTACTGTAGATTTCAGCCATTTCTGTTTGACTCCAAAGCCTGCTTTTTCCTGCACAGCATAATGCCACCCAGGCAAGGGAAGGGTCTGAGCAAAGATGTGGATACTGGAAAGTGTATATTGTGTGTTTTATGTAGGAAAATTTGGCTGCAGTTTGAATAGAGAGTTGAAGGACATGTGGTTGGAGAGTTAGGTGGAGACCAGATTGTGGGATATCAAACTTCAAATGAAGAACTGTGAGCAGCCTTTATCTTTAGGCAGTGGAGAAACCATTGTAAGTGTTTGAGCTGAGAGAACATGGTCCAGAGCCAAGACAGGCTCCCATCTCCCGGCTGTTGCCCCCATTAGCCAGACACACACTGCAGAACTGACTACTGGGGTACTTGACCAGCCTTTGGTGCCCTGGGGTTTTTGTTTTCGAAAAATTTTCTAGAAAAATCTTTATGGGTTGATATGTGTTTTAGCTGAGAGAGCATTTCAAGAAGATGTTTTGGGGTGGGGTGTAAGGGTGGTAGGGGCAGGATCACCCATGAAGAGACTTAGGGGAGGTAGTGGCAGTGAGGGTTGGACTAGAGAATAATCGAGGAGGTGGATTTGATGGGGGTAGCAGCTAAAAAGGTGGCAGTAGGCCTTGAAGTAGTAGGGAATCAAGCCTCATGTTCATCAGTCTGCCTGCCTAGGGAGTTTTGAGGTCCTTACCAAGGTTCTCTTCTTGCCTTACTAAGGCCTGACCTCACAGGTGATAGGAGTGCCTAGAAAGAGCTGATTTTTCTTTTCTTTTTTTTTTTTTTTCCTTTTTGTCTTTTTTTTTCGTGTCCGGCAACGGACCGCAACCCTCAGTGTCGCGCCCGTACCGGACCGGGACCGGCAACGGGATCGCAACCCTCGGTGCTGCGCCCGCCCCTCGCTCAGCCAGTGAGCGGGAACCGGTCTGTATGTGGGATCCGAACCCTTGGCGGGAGCGCTGCCGCACTCCAAAGCGGCGCACTGTAGCAGTGCGCCACCGGGCTGGCCCGAAAGAGCTGATTTTTCAAAGTTCATGTGCTCCTTTCTCTCCGAACTGATGCAGCATAATGTTTGAACCTGTTTGCACTGAAACAATACCTCACTCACCTCTCTCCCTCCCCCCGCTTATCCAATCTTGGGGTTATCTATGATCCCTAGCACAGCACTAGCAACTGTGAATGTCCCTTTATGGTATGTCCTATCTGGAGTGTCCCATATTCACTCATAATATGTCTTGTCTATGAGTGATTTGACTGGGCACCCAGAGGTCTGGGGAGGCTGGGACTCAGAACCAGAACAGCTAACAAGTGCCTAGATTCTCCCAGAGGCAGGTGCCTGTACACACAAAGGGGGGGGGATTAGACCTCAGGAGAGGCAAATTGGGCTCTGACTACAAGCTAGAGTATTTTCTGTTAATAGCAACTGTCTTTGAAACTTTGCCAGAAAGCAGATGATGAATGAACCTCAAATACTAAAAGAATAGACAAGACATTATTTAAAGGTACTTCCTGTGTTTGATTCTGTAATTCTTTGTGTTCTTTCTTTTAAAAAATAATATAAAAATAGTACATGCTCATTGTAGAAAAACTTAAAGCACATAAGGATATAAAACAGAATTTCCCTTTCACTCTCAACTCTCCTTGAGTTTGGTATATATGCTTTTAAATACCTTCAAAGTGTGTGATGTTTGCATGTGTGCATGTGCACATGTGTATCTATACATATCTCTGTCTCCAAATGGAATCATACTGTATTAGTTTCTGTTGCTTATAGCATAAATACCTGGAACTGGGTAATTCATAAGAAAACAAAATTTATTGCTTACAGTTTCTGAGGCTGGGAAGTCCAAAGTCTGGAGAACATATCTGGTGAGGGTCTTCTTTGGTGGTGGCTTTACAGCAACTCACGGGTCTCACATGGCAGAAAATGGTGAAGCAGAGAGAGAGATTCTTGCATGCTCTCCTTTTAAAGCCCTCAGAACCACACACATGACCATCATTATTAATCCATTCATTAGAGCATAGTCTTCAGAATCTAATCACCTCTTCATGGCCCCACCTTTCAATTACCATAATAGGATTTCCCACTTTCAACAGTTACAGTGGGGATTAAGCTTTTGACTTTGGAGGGGGCATTCAATCCACTGCACATACCATCTTCTAACCTGCCTTTTTTTTTTTTTTTAAAGATGACCAGTAAGGGGATCTTAACCCTTGACTTGGTGTTGTCAGCACTACGCTCTCCCAAGTGAGCTAACTGGCGATCCCTATACAGGGATCCGAACCTGTGGCCTTGTTGTTATCCGCCCCGCCCTCTCCCAAGTGAGCTAACTGGCGATCCCTATACAGGGATCCGAACCTGTGGCCTTGTTGTTATCCGCCCCGCCCTCTCCCAAGTGAGCTAACTGGCGATCCCTATACAGGGATCCGAACCTGTGGCCTTGTTGTTATCCGCCCCGCCCTCTCCCAAGTGAGCTAACTGGCGATCCCTATACAGGGATCCGAACCTGTGGCCTTGTTGTTATCCGCCCCGCCCTCTCCCAAGTGAGCCACAGGCTGGCCCTTTTTTTTTTTTTTTTTAATTTTCATTTATCAGTATACAATGTAGTTGATTTTCGTGTCCCTTTACAAATTCCTCCTTTTCCTCCCTCCCTCTCCCCCTCCACCATCAACATCATATTTGTTTGTCTTAACAAGTTCAAAGAATTGTTGTAATTGGTGTGTCTTCTTCCTCCCCCCAACCCCTGCCATTCATTTGTATATTATTTATTTTTATTAGCTCTCACAAATAAGTGAGAATGTGCTGTATTTCTCTTTCTGTGCCTTGCTTATTTCACTTAAATATAATTTTGTCTAAGTCTGTCCATGTCGCTGGGAATGGTAGTATTTCTTTTTTTTTTATAGCAGAGTAGTATTGCATTGTGTAGATATACCACAGTTTCCTTATCCACTCATCTGATGATGGGCATTTAGGCTGGTTCTAACTCTTGGCTGTTGTAAATAGCAAAGCAATAAACATGGGAGTACCAGGTACCCCTTCAACACGATGGTTTCCATTCCTCTGGGTATATACCCAGCAATGGAATAGGTGGGTCATATGATAGATGTATCTGTAATTGTTTGAGGAAGCTCCACACCATTTTCCATAAAGGCTGTACCATTTTGCAGTCCCATCAACAGTGTATGGAGGGTTCCTTTTTCTTGACATTCTCTCCAGCGTTTGTCATTCTCAGTCTTTTGGATATTAGCCATCCTAACTGGAGTGAGATGGTATCTCAAAGTGGTTTTGATTTGCATTTCCTGAATGTTGAGTTATGTTGAGCATTTTTTCATGTATCTGTTGGCCATTCATATATCTTCCCTCTGAGAAATGCCTATTCAGCTCCTTTGCCCATTTTTTAATTGGGTTACTTGTGTTTTTGCTGTTAAGTCGTTTGAGTTCCTTGTATATTCTGGTTACTAATCCTTTGTCAGATGTATATTTTGCACATATTTTCTCCCACTCGGTTGGTTGTCTTTTGGCTCTGTTAATTGTTTCTTTTGCTGTGTAGAAGCTTTTTAGTTTGATGTAATCCCATTTGTTTATTTTTCCTTTGGTTGCCTGTGTTTCTGGGGTTATATTCATAAAGTCTGCACCCAGTCCTACTTCCTGGAGTGTTTCTCCTATGTTTTCTTTAAGGAATTTTATCATTTCAGGACATATATTTATTTCTTTACTTAAATATATTAATATTATATTTAATTAATTTTGAGTTGATTTTGGTATATGGTAAGAGGTACAGGTCTAGTTTCATTCCCCTATATATGAATGTCCAATTTTCCCAGCACCATTTACTGAAAAGGCAGTCTCTTCCCCAGTGTGTAGTCTTGGTGCCTTTGTCAAAGATCAGATGGCTGTAGGTGCATGGGTTGATTTCTGGATTCTCTATTCTGTTCCATTGGTCTGTTTGTCTGTTTTTATGCCTGTACCATGCTTTTTTGGTAGTGTTGCTGGGGGGAGGAAAGACAACAATCACAACAGGTCCTTGATCCTGTTCAGACAAGTGAACAGATATGATGTTGTTGGGGGTGGCGGGGGAGAGGGAAGTGGGAAAGAGGAATTGGTAAAGGGACATGAAAATGAACTACATTGTATATTGATAAATTAAAATTTAAAAATTTTATAAAATAAAAATAAATAAAGTCAGGTAGTGTTACACCTCTGGCTTTATTTTTTATGCTCAAGATTGCTTTGGCTATTCGTGGTCTTTTGTTCTTCCACATGAATGTTAAGATTGTTTTTTCCACTTTGAGAAAATTGTCATTGGAATTTTGATGGGATTGCATTGAACCTGTAGATCACTTGGGTAGTATGGACATTTCCACAATGTTAATTCTTCCAATCCAAGAGCATGGGATATCTTTCCATCTTCTTGTGTCCTCTTTAATTTCTCTCAACAGTGGTTTGTAGTTCTCGTCATAGAGATTTTTCACATCCTTGGTTAAATTTATTCCTAGGTATTTTATTTTTTTGGTGGCTATTGTAAATGGGTTAGCTTTCTTGATTTCTTTTTCTGCCAGTTCATTGTTAGAATACAGAAATGCTTCTGATTTTTGTGTGTTGATTTTGTATCATGCAACTTCGCTGAAATCATTTATTAACTCTAAGAGGTTTTTTGTAAAGTCTTTAGGCTGTTCTCTGTATAGGATCATGTCATCTGCAAACAGGGACAGTTGGACCTCATCTTTTCCAATTTGGATGCCCTTTATTTCCTTCTCTTCCCTGATTACTCTGGCTAGTACTTCCAACACTACATTGAATAGGAGTGGTGAGAGTGGGCATCCTTGTCTTGTTCCTGTTCTTCAGGGAAAAGCTTTCAATTTTTCTCCATTCAGGATGATATTGGCAATGGGTTTATCATATATGGCTTTAGTTGTGTTGAGATACTTTCCTTGTATACCCAATTTATAGGAGTCTTTATCATGAATGAATGTTGAATTTTGTCAAATGCTTTTTCACCTTCTGTAGAGATGATCATATGGTTTTTGTGTTTGATTTTATTGATGTGGTGTATCACATTTATTGATTTGCATATTTTGAACCAACCTTGCATCCCTGGGATGAATCCCATTTGATCAAGGTGTATAATTTTATGTATGTGTTGCTGTATTCTATCAGCTAGTATTTTATTGAGGATTTTTGCATCTATATTCATCAAAGATATTGGCCTGTAGTTTTCTTTTTTTGTTGTATCTTTGTCTGGTTTTGGTATCAGGGTGATGTTTGCCTCATAGAATGAGTTTGGGAGAGTGGCCTCTGTTTCAATTTTTTGGAATAGTTTGTAGAGAATTGGTATTAATTCTTCTTTAAAGGTTTGGTAGAATTCTGCAGCGAAGCCATCCAGTCCTGGGCTTTTCCTTTTTGGGAGACTGCTGGTAACAGCTTCAATTTCTTTGATTGTTATTGGTCTGTTCAGATTTTCAGTGTCTTCTTGGCTCAGTCTTGGTAGTTTGTGTGTGTCCAAAAATTTATCCATTTCCTCCAGATTTTCAAATTTGTTGGCTTATGGTTGTTTATAGTAGTCTCTAATGATTCCTTGTATTTCTGAGGTATTGGTTGTAATATCACCATTTTCATTTCTAATTTTTATTTCTGTCTTTTCTTCTTTTTTCAATTAGCCTTGCTAATGGTTTTTCAATTTTATTTATCTTTTCAAAAAATCAACTTTTTGTTTCATTGATCTTTTGCATTGTTTTTTGGGTTTCTGTTTCACTTAGTTCTACTCTGATCTTAATTATTTCTTTCTGTCTACTAACTTTGGGTTTGAATTGTTCTTGTTTTTCTAATTCTTTACGATGAAGTGTTAGATTGTTTACTTGCCATCTTTCCATTCTTCTGAATTAAGCATTTAGTGTGATAAATTTCCCCCTTAGTACTGCTTTTGCAAGTATCCCACAGGTTTTGGTATGATGTGTCATTATTTTCATTAGTTTCAAAAATTTTTTTGATTTCCTTTTTAATTTCTTCTTAGACCTGTATGTCATTAAGTAGGATGTTGTTTAATTTCATTGTATTTGTATAGTTTCCAGAGTTTCGTTTGTTGTTGATTTCTAGTTTTAATCCATTGTGGTCTGAAAAAATACATGGGATAATTCCAGTTTTTTGAATTTGTTGAGACTTGATTTGTGACCTAATGTGGTCTATCCCAGAGAATGCTGCATGTGCTGAAGAGAAGAATGAATATTCTGACTTTGTTGGATGAAATGTTCTGTATATATCTGCCAGGTCCAATTGGTCTAAAGTGTTGTTTAGGTCTTGTTTCTTTTGATTTTTTGCCTAGATGATCTGTCCAGTGTTGAGAGTGGGGTGTTCAAGTCCCCTACTATTATGGTATTTGTGTCTATCTCTTTCTTTAGGTCTAATAGTGTTTGCTTTATAACTCTGACTGCTCCAATTTTGGTTGCATAAATATTTGTGATTGTTATGCCTTCTTGTTGGATAGATACTTTTATCATTATATAGTGGCCTTCTTTATCTTTTTTTATGGTTTTTGGTTTAAAGTCTATTTTATCAGATATAAGAATAGCTACTCCAGCTCTTTTTTTGTTTCTATTTGCATGGTATATCTTTTTCCATCCTTTCACTCTTACTCTTTGTGTGTCTTTACAGGTGAGGTTGGTCTCTTAAAGGCAGCATCTTGTTGGATCCATCTTTTTAATCCAGTCAGTCTCTGTCTTTTGAGTGGGGAATTCAAACCGTTTACATTGAGTTATTATTGAAAGGTGTTGATTTACTTGTGGCATTATATTGATTTTTGTTTGGATGTTTAAATATCTTTTGTTCCTTTCTTTCTGATTTCCTGATTGTCTTCTGTGTTTGTTGGCTTCTTGGAATAGTGGTAAAGTTTTTTTTTTTTTTTTTCCTCTTTATTGTTAACATTTTATTGTACTGGTTGGTTTTGTTCTATCTTGAGTATTCATGGTAGTGATGGTTGTTTTTCAGATACCAGACCTAGTACTCCCATGAGAATTTCTAGTAAGGCTGGTTATGTGGTAGTGAACTCCCATAGTTTTTGCTTGTCTGGGAAATATACTATTTGTCCTTCATTTTGGAAGGATAGCCTTGCTAGGTAAAGTATTCTTAGCTGGCAATTTTTGTCTTTTAGTATTTTGAATATATCATCCCATTCTCTTCTGGCTTTTAGGGTTTCTGATAAAAAGTCTGATGTTAGTCTGATAGGGGTTCCCTTATAGGTGACTTGACACTTCTCTCTTGCAGCTTTTAAGATTCTCTCTTGGTCTTTGAGTCTTGCCAATTTGACTATAACATGTCTTAGAGAGGACCTTTTTGGGTTGAATGTGTTGGGAGATCTTTGAGCCTCCTATACCTGGGAAGTTTTCTCCTATTATTTCATTGAATATGTTTTCAATGCCATTTCCTTTTTCCTTCCCTTCTGGAATACCCAGATTTGGATATTGGAGCACTTAAGGTTGTCAGTTATCTCTTAGATTTTCTTCAAGTTTTTAAATTCTTTTTTTTTTTTTTTTTGTCCACCTGTGTTATTTTGAACAAGCCATCTTCAAGGTCAGAAATTCTCTCTTCTGCTTGTTCTAGCCTAGTGGTTAAGCTCTCTGTTGTGTTTTCTATTTTGTTTAATGAATCCTTCAGCTCCACAAGCTCTGCTACATTCTTTTTCAGGGCATTGATTTCTTTGTACATTTTCTCTTTCAGGTCCTGTATATATTTTTTAATTTTGTTGTGTTGTCTGAGTCTTGTATCTCATTTAGTTTCCTTAGAGTTGTTGCTCAATTCCTTGTCAGTCATTTCAAGGACTTCCTGTTCTATAGGGCTTAGAACTTGAGAGTCGTTATATTCCTTTGGTGGTGTCGTACTTTCTTGGTTTTTCATATTTCTAGTATTTATCCATTCGTGTTTAGTCATTGTGGCAAAGGCTATCTCAATCTACTTGTTCTACCCTGGTGTCTGGAGCAATATCAGGGAGTTTTGTTGATGCTTAGCTGCCTGTTGCTACCTCAGGGTCCAGGGGTCAGCGGCTGGGGCTTCTCTTGGGGGCGGGGACTCGCATGGCCTGGCCTGGGTCCTGTGCAGAGGGTGCCAGGTCTTGGAGTCACTGCCTTGGGTCCCAGGGGTCAGTGGCAGCTGGGGCCTCTCTCGGGGGCTGAGACTTCCCTGGTGGTGGCCGGGGTCCCGCCTACCTGAGGTCCTAGGGGTTGGCAGCGGCTGGGGCTTCTCTCTAACCTGCCTTTTTAAAATTAGCTGTATCATCAACATTTCCCCATGTCAATCCATAAATATTTATTATCTTAATGGCTACTTATTCTATTGTTTGTATATATTATAATTTTTATAACTAAACTTTTTTTGTCATTTTTACTATTATAAGCAGTGGATATCCTTATATAGTACAGTGAATCACTGCAGTCCTGTGCAGTTTATATACTAAAGTGTTAGAAGTAAAATTTCTGTGTCCCAAAGAATGTCTAACATTTTGATAGATAACTGCCGGTTTTCCCATGGCACAGGTTTTGTGGGTTACACCTCACTGGGAGTATGTGTGAGGCCCTTATGCCAGCAGGGCAGACCATCAGTCTCTGGGTGTCAGAAGATAGGCAGGCTTGACCTCTGTAAGTGGGACCTTGATTGTGGTAGAGAGGCTGCTTATGTAATCAACTTCAACAGCTTCTTGCAGGAGCCAAAGTGAATGAATTAACCAAGCACCGCCAGACCGCCCTCCATCTTGCTGCCCAGCAGGACCTGCCTACCATCTGCTCAGTCCTCCTAGAGAATGGAGTGGACTTTGCTGCTGTGGATGAGAATGGAAATAATGGTAATTGCCAGTCATTCCTCTGTGTACAGTGCTAAGTGCCTTGAGTAATCCCTCCATTCTAGGGGTGGAGGTGCTCCGCACCCTTGAGTTTGCTCCCCCTTGGGGAGGTTGGCTTTTTTTTTTTTTTTTTCCTTTTTTGTCTTTTTTCGTGACTGGCACCGGATCGCAACCCTCAGTGTCGCGCCCGTACCAGACCGGGACCGGCAACGGGATCGCAACCCTCGGTGTTACGCCCGCACCTTGCTCAGTCAGTGAGTGGCCGGTCTGTACGTGGGATCCGAACCCTCGGCGGGAGCGCCGCTGCCCTCCCAAGCGGCGCACTGTAGCAGTGCGCCACCAGGCCGGTCCCGGGAGGTTGGCTTTTGCAGGAACAGAGCTATGACAGGAAGTGCTCTGCTAGGAGAGAGAGCATCTCCAACCTGCCACTGACTAGGCCTTGGGCATCCTCCTGGTATGATTGGTAACCCTGGAAGCCTAAAGTGGCTTCTTGTGAAACTATTGAATCTCATCTTTGGATGACCACTGAAGCAGAAAGCAAAGGCTTATGAGATTGCATTTATGCCTCATTCTTGGAGGGTGGTGAAGAATGGAAAGGATGGCTCTTTGAGTGGCCAGTTGCTGCTCTGACTGAGTCCCATTTAGTGGGAGGTTTGTGAGGGTGGGGAGGAGTTGAGATTTTTCTGTGTGTGCTTCTGGCTTGCACAGTAAGAGGATTTACTCCCCAGCTCTTCATCTGGCTGTCATGCATGGTCGGCTCAACAATATCCGGGTTCTCCTGACAGAGTGCACAGTGGATGCCGAAGCCTTTAATCTGAGGTGAGTGTGTCTGGTCCAGAGCAAAGACCAGGGTTGCACATCACCCAGTCTGCCAACCAGAGTTGGTGGTCGCTGGTGCCTCCCATCAGCCCCATGTACACACTGCAGAACTGGCCACTGCTGTATTTGATCAGCTTTTGGTACCCTGGTATTTTTGTTTTTTTAAACAAACACTTTTTAGGAAAACTTTTGTGACCTGTTATGTGTCCTTTAGATGTATGCAGCTTCACAGAGTTCAGAAAATTCCATTTCTTTTGGGTATGATGGCCATGGCAGATACATACCTAACTTTTCTAACATGTTTTATCAGAGGCCAGTCACCACTGCACATTTTGGGACAATATGGCAAAGAGAATGCAGCAGCCATCTTTGATCTCTTCTTGGAATGCATGCCTGAGTATCCTCTAGATAAACCAGATGCAGAAGGAAACACGGGTATGTAAAAAGGTGTTTGTATGCCTTTGCTTCCTAGGTAAACAAGAGCCCAGGCACACATGTCACTCTCTGGGTGCATTCAGCTCACTGTATTTTGGTTGTGCTCTCTGAGCATATGTCACAGATCCCTGTCGTGGAATTTGGAGTGTCTGATTTTAGGCACAACCACATCTGAAGTACATCTAGTGCCCCAAAGCCATACCTGTGGCCAAACAGGCCTGCCCACCTGTATTTATTGCCCTCACCTGCCTTTACTCTGGTTAACTAGGACCCTACCCAAGCTCCAAATTCCAGCAGAGGGTTAAATATAAGCCCCTCACAGGGACTTCAGAAGGAGGAAATGTGCTACAGTATGTGTTGACATGTTTTGAAAAGGTGACAAATGATATACAGGTACATGGGATGCCTTCTTGTGGAGAACATTAATATGCCTCTTGTGGTTTGCTCACTGGGTTCACTTGTGTAGCTTTCATAGCTTTTTTCACGTACTTTGCATTTGTTTTCTTGTTGAATACTCACAACAACCCCATAAAGTAAGCAATGCATATAGTTGGGTCCCATTTTTCAGGTAAGGAAACAACGACTCAAAAAAACCAGATGAAAACCAGATCCCTATCATCCTGGCTGGGGCTCTCCAGGCACCTCCGTTGCTGTTGAATCCCATTTGTTCACCTTCTTGCCAGACAGAACCTCCACTGCCTGCTCTGAACCTTAACATGGGACCAAACATTGTGTCACCATTTCTTAGTCTTGGGAAGTTGTTGGCCTTGATACATGAATGTGTTTTTAAAGCTGACAGTGATGGACCTGAGCTTCAGAGGAGTCAGCCCCGGGGAGTGAGCTGTGGACCCAGCATATACTCAGTGAACAGCACTGCCCAGGATCAGGTGAACAGGCAGCCAGGGAAGGGCTTCATGTCCAGGCTTCCAATTTACAGTCAGTCACCTGAGTTCAAATGCCTAGCTATGTCATATTCTAGCAGGGTGACTGGGTAAATTTTCTAACCTCTCTATGCTTGTTTCCTCATTTGATCATGGGAATAATAACCTTCATCTTATTGCATCATTTGGAGACTTAAATAATTTAAATAAAGTGCCTGGTAAAGGTGAGCAAAGGGGAGCTGTTGTTAGCTGTAATTGTTAGTAGGGAAGGCCATCAGGCCGTCAGGATGGCCTGACCAGAACCTGGGTTTCCACTGTGTCTGCATCTGCACAGAGGAGAGGCTTCATGGGGCAGAAGTACTTTGTGGAGTATGTTCCCCATGCTGGTTTCTTTTCTCTCTGTGTATGCAACTCACAAATCTTTTAGATTTAGTTACATTGTGTGAAAAGAGCTTTCTTCTTTGTGTTGAAACCAGTGTTTCATGCCAGAGGAAGGCAACCAAGACTATTTATTTTTCCTTCATTGTCAGATCCCTACCTTAATTCTCTTGTAGCCATAGCTCTACAGGGGAAAGAGTGTATCTCTGGAACTATAGCTTCTTTACAATCCCTTGGCTCGTGGCCAGATCCTTTATTGGAAGATGCTGCAGATACTCTATGGAGGTCTCACCAGAGCCTCAAGGACCCGTGTGTGTCTGTGGGGACTTTCCTAACAATGTCTAGTGATTATTGTTCTTGTCTACACTGATAACTCCCATCTTAATGTGACTGCCAGCAGTCTGTCCTCTGCCTACTCTTTGGCAGTGCCAGGCTGGGCCAGATGGGAAGTAGCCCTGCCTATGGTTTTGTTTTCCAGTGCTGCTCTTAGCATACATGAAAGGAAATGCCAACTTGTGCCGTGCCATTGTCCGATCTGGTGCTCGCCTTGGGGTGAATAATAACCAAGGAGTCAACATTTTCAACTACCAAGTTGCCACTAAGCAACTTCTGTTTAGATTATTAGGTGAGTGGCTTACTTTGTGTTCTTTCACTGCAAGCCCAGTTACAGTGTTGATTATCTAGATGTATTAATGATCTTTAAATCTCATAATGACTTATTTTAAGACCTGAACCAGTAGTTTCCATGCAGCATATGGGATTATTTGTACGAATGGGATGAAGGGCCCTTCAGCAATGTTGGGATGGTCACTGTTAGCAGGCCCCTGTCAATTTTACACTCCCTCTGAACATTCCAGGAATCCACAAGCTCCAGACAAGTCACCCTTACCAAGTCTCCTGGCTGCTTATCTGTGCACTCATCCTCCTTTGGCTGATTCAGATTCTCTGCAGCCTTCAAACTGGCCTCTGCATCCTCCTCCATGGCTTCTTCCTCCTCCATGTTTCATTTGTGCAGAGGAGCACTTCACTCTTGAAGATTTGTACTAGCGAGTCTGTTCTCTTCCTTGTTGAGGACGTGGAAAGAATCAGAGTGTCTTGAGTGCCTGTGTGTGCCTGTGCTGTGTCATCACCCACAGTGGAGACAGACTGGCAGAGAAACATGCTCAGAAATACTCAGTAGCCATGTGATCTTGATGTAGGTGACTTGCCCAAGGCCACACAGCTGTTTTGTGGCAGAGCCAGCATTAAAGCATGGTGCCTGTGGTGTCTACTTTAACTTTCCCTTTGCCAGGCACTTGGTTGGCCTCTTAAGAGCTCAGAACAGCTGCCCTCACAGTGCTGACATGTAGGAGGTTCTCGGTAGTGACTGATTCATGTGCTGCTCCCTCCCTCGGAGCTCTGTCTCCTCCTATCATAGAGCAGTCAGGACAGTGCCTGGCATAGAGCTAGAGTTCAGTAAATAAACACTAGTGATTGTTGTTTTTGTCTACACTGATAACTCGTACCTTAATGTGAAAACTGAACTCCTCGTCTGCTCTCATTCTTTCTCTTAGGTCTCTTCTCTGCTGGTGGTCCCACCACAGACTCAGTCACTCTATCAGAAATCTGGGAAGCAGGGTCTGGCCGGTTAGCTCAATTGGTTAGAGCACAGTGTTGTAACACCAAGCTCAAGGTTTCTGATCCCCATACCAGCCAGCCGCCAATAAAAAAAGGAACCTGGGAATCATCTTTGCCTCTTTCCTGCTCCCTGCCTCCCTCTCACATTCTGCGCTTCTATTCAGTCACAGAATCTTACACATTCTGCCTCCTCAGTTTCGCTTGTCTCGGTCCCCTCCTCTGTGTTTCCCTGGCCATTGACTACCTGCCAGTCTTTCTAGCTGTGTGGTCTCTGCTCTCTCCCCACCATGCCTTACACTCCAGCCATCCCTGACTGTGTGTGTTTTTCCCACAGACAGTGTGCTGTGTCGCTAACTTGAACTTTCCTTCTCTCCCAGTCTGCCTGGCAAGTGCTGATTCTCCATAGTCTCCTCTGAAGCCTTCCCTGACCCAATTAGATTACATTACACCTTCATCCCTCATGTCACTCTGCAATGTGTTGCTTTATTTTACTGGTCTGTTTCCCTGCTCCCACTAAGCCATGAGTCCTGCCTGGCACAGTCACTGTTTGATAGGAACTAGTCTTCCCCTGTATGTGTTACAGATATGCTGTCCAAGGAGCCTCCATGGTGTGATGGCTCCAACTGCTATGAGTGCACTGCCAAGTTTGGAGTCACAACTCGCAAGCATCACTGGTAAGACCCCCATCATCACTTGCCAGAGGAATGAGGGGACTTCTGCTGATGTCACTGCAACCTTTTCCATGATAAGCCATGAACTTGCCAGGGCTCTACACTCTCCTGGGCAATACTGACCAAATGGAGGGATGAGAGGACGGGACTGAGCATACCCAAGGGTCCCACTGAGGACTAGAGATGTAGGGAAGGCAGGGGTGCTCAAATGTGGCGGCTTTCCTGCTGGCTGCTGAGGGTGCACAGGTCTCAGGGGGCCTGTCAGGCTTCCTGTCATCTTCTCTGGGCTTCTGCTTACTGCAGAGCTGAGATGAGTTACTGTCCTCATAGTGTGCCTGAGTACAGGCTGCTCTACCAAGAGCTTAGGAGCTGTTCCCATTAAATGAGACAGTTCTTTTGCTCATGCTGAGCTGCTTATGATCTTTAAAAAAAAAGCCTTCAGTTTTGCTTTAACTTAAATATTGGCTAGAATTTTATTTTCATGGACAAAAAGTTATACATGAAGTGGTGTAACCTGGCTGGCGGGTGGCAGAGTTGACCATACGGTATGAGTTGTGGGCTGGCCCTGTCTGTGAGGGCACTGTCATTGTCCTCACGTGCCAGAAAGCAGTCTGCTCTTCAGTATCCCTCTCACACTTCCTTTCTTTGCTTCCACAGTCGTCACTGCGGACGTCTTCTTTGCCATAAATGCTCGACCAAGGAGATTCCTATTATAAAGTTTGATCTGAACAAGCCTGTGCGAGTTTGCAACATTTGCTTTGATGTACTGACTCTGGGTGGGGTCTCTTAGTGAGCCCCTGGGGGTCCAGGCCACATCCCCAGTCACCTCCCCAGCAGCTGCTCTGCTCACCAGCCTGACCCACCCAGAGCAGGAGCTGGCGGTCATCTTCATGGAACAATTAAGGACCTTGGTGTGATAGATCCCATTTCAAATGATTCTGTATGATTGTCAGTGTGTCAGACTGTGATTGATTTCACTAGATGTCTCACTAATTGGACCAGGCCATTTAGCCTAAGTGGTAAATGTGATAGGAATTAGACCCCATTCAGCTAGCAACATACAAGGATACTTTGAAAACCATTTTCCCTTCCAGCAGTTGAGTGTCCATGCTAGAGCATTCATGAAGTCTTCCTGCCTCAGCTGACTATGCGGCCTAACATGGTGTAGGAAGCTAGCTGCTTAATGAGGGCTGGCTTTACTCTAGGGTAAGTGGCTGTGGACTTTTATGCACAGTGTTTTCATAAAGATAATAGGATCCTTTTACCCTAAAGTCTTTTTTTTTTTTTTTTCTTAAGCTAAGCTGTATTTTTAGTGAGCTACCCCTTTTAAAAAGGTAAAATCTTTCTAAACAGGGTTCAAAGATGAGAGCTGAAAAATCGTGGCCTTAACAACTGAAAGCTTTACCAGTGTTTGTGCTACTGAGGTGTCAGGAGTGCAGTTTGGCAGCTTGGCACCTCTTAGCAGCTGTCTCATTCTCTCGTCTTGCTGCATCCTGTCTGTGGAGTCGTCAGTCACTGCCACTAGAGAGTGGTGGAGGAAATGCACTTTTATTGTGCTGCACTTTTTATATAGCTGCATTATTGGTGATTCCAATTTAAAAATCCATATTCAAAAATACCCTCACTCATCCTTGCATCAGTGATTCTAATGATCAACTTTGACTGGACCTCAGCTCACATTAATCTTAAAGGAAAAACACGTAGGGTGTCTTTTGGAGTAATAGATTCATATAGGCCAAGTTGAGAAGAATAGGTAAGGCTTTAGCTTCAGGGAGGGGCATTTCCAGCCTCAGGACAATGGCCCCTATCTCCCTGATAGGAATGCTTCTTGCTGAAACCTTTCCTAGTTATGCTGTGTGTCTGTTGGTGCCAGTTCTGTGTAGCTTGCCCTGCCCCGTAAGGGCCAACAGCTGAAGGCCCTGGCCAGTGTGTGAACCATTTTGGAAGGCGCTCTGGCTTGTGTGCTGATGAGGCTGCCAGAACTTGTTAGGCCTTAGTTGCTGCTAGTACATATGTTAAACCTGAAGTGTTAAACTTCTTTTCTTTTGAAAGTTTGGCCAGTTTTTTAAAAATACATATTTAAATAGAAACTTCTACCACTGCTTTAAAAAAAAAAAACAAAACTCTGAGATGAACAATATGTGTCACACAGTCATACTTAGAGATTAACAATCTCAATCACACATACTGATTTTTCCAGACTTTTAATAACCACTACATTTGTTCGCATTAATGAAGTATGGATATATGTGTAAAAGGGACTACTTATTTTTTTGCAGCAGACTGTTTTGTTTCTTTTTTGAATAGTGGTATGTCCTCTATGTTGCTGTAGACTTATACATCTGTTGCCTAAATATGTGTGTAAAATGAGCTGAAAAACCAGAGTGCTACTTTTTAAAAATATTTCTGTGATTTATAAGATATGCAAGTATATGCTTTCTATGTTAATATGAGCTTGTTGTGCACAATGTTTAAAAAAAAATTAATTAGAAGTGTTCCCCTGTCCCCCAGTCTGTGACATATTTCATATAGAATTTTTATAGAAAAACTCAACTAGTCTTGGCAAACACTTGACCATATGAATCATGTGGTCACTTTCCGTTTTCTGTTGCCCAAAAAAGGCCACAAGGAAGTAGAGCTTAGTTAGGTAGCTTGGTTTTTTAATTAGAAAGTAAGATAATTATGGTTCAAAGATGAATTTAGGTGGTCAGTACATATATACTTGTTCTTTTAATGTTCTTAGTGGAGGGTGGAGGATAGGATGAGTCTGATTGTTCTGCCTTTGCCCCAACATACCAGTTTCAATAACAATCTCGCCTATAATTACACTTAAAAATCTTAAGATCATGTTTAAATTATGTTGATGCAAGCTTCTGTTTCTTTACAGAGTCCAGGGATAGCAGTGGTACTGACCAGCCATGGATTGGGGGAACATATTTTGAGTTCTGCATTGGCTTCAGGTGCATTCATGTAGATTTAGAAAAAGCATCTTTCCACAGTCTTAGGAAATCTCCCTGACCATGCTGATGCTCACTGGGTTGAATTCAGCAGGTTCCTTGAGTAGCAGCTGCCCCAGTGGGACTCCAACATACACTGCCCTGGCTGGGACTAGATAGGTCTGAATCACTTTTGTGCCCTCCACTCTGTCAAGACTTGACTACAAAACTGCCTAGCTGTTCTTGTTAAATTTTAAACAGTAGCTTAAGTACTAGTAGCAAAATCTTAATTATTTTATTCATTCAGAAGGTTGCCAATAGTGAATGAGTAGAGCAGGAAGAATAAACTTTACTGGAACATAATTTGCTGCATCAGTCAACATTGTTATGCTGAATTAGCTTTTTAACTGCCTCTTGCTCATTGCCAGATTTATTATACAGTATATTCTTGACCGTCTTTTTCTTTTTTTTAAGAGAAAGGTACAAACCACATGCTATATATAAATGGAATAACAAACTAATTTGCTGTGATCCTCTAACACAGAAATTTCCCACAAATTTAAGTGCCTACACTTAGGACTTTTTAATTTTCAGTTATCTTTTTAGTGGTGTCTCATTGAATGCTATATTAGAACATGTGTTCCATTTGGAGTTTTGTGCCTGTGCACTGTCAATCCCAGTTACCAGTTTAGTCAAGGCTGGATTAAATTGCTCGATTCACCTGCCACATTCTCTCCAAGGAGTGGGGTCCACGTGACCTTCAGTCCTCTACCTCAGAGCCCTTAATCATTTCTGACCACCCTATTTAGCTTCCTCACTTTTCTCCCTGAATGGGTCCCTGTAAGAAACTCAGTGTGCATGTGGTTTCACCACTCTCCCCAACTCATGTCCCACACTTGTCATGTTGAACTGTTCGTTACTGCACTAATCTTGTCCAGGGGTGAGGAGTGGAGGAAAAGTCTTGGGAGGGAGTAGAGCCCTGACCTCCATCTAGGTTTCCTTTATCTGGAGAGAAAGAACACTCTGAGCTATGTAACGCTTAGACCTAAAAGGTACCCAGCAAACAAGTAAGTGTAACGCTTCCATGACAGAAACACTTGCTTCCCTCAGGACAAGCCCCAGAACAACTACCAGAAGCACCAAAGTTCCCCACTCCCAGCTGGAGAAAGGAGGAAGCTGAGGGGAAACAACTTGCCAAAGGGATTTGGAAGCTACATTCTTGCTTTGTGGAAGCAGTTTAGTGAAGAGCTGTTTGACAAGATATAAACTAAACACTTAAATTCCCAGAACTTGTAGATGCCTTAAAGACTTTCTTTGGAAGATCATTGCCTGTACAGTTCCTTTTTTGTGTGGCATAAATAATATATTAACCTGTTACAACTGATGGCATTGGTTTTCTGTAGTTAGGGAGTCTGGAGTTGAGATTGCTTAATTAATACCTGCCCTTTTTTGGCAGATGTGTGGAGTTGGCTGTTACCATGACATACCTGTGTGATACTAAGGGGAAGGGCGGTAGCTGGGCAGGCACTGCAGGCACACATTGGGTTGATCCCCTTGGCTTCTAAACCATTTGGGGTTGTGCTCAGTGTATGATGATGGCATCATAAAGGACCATGGCGCTTATCAGCATTGTTTCTTTGGAGTCTGTGTAATAGAATGTATTTTTCAAATACTGATATTTGCATTTTCTGTAACAATTCCTTATAATAAAATGAAGTAAAATTGTGCATTTAAAGTGGGAACTTTAATAAGACATTTGTAGTTACTTCTGGTGCAGAAGTATCCGTAAGCATTGAAAACAAATTTACAAAAAAAACAACTCCTGACGTGAATAAATTTCTTTAACAGCTACCTTCTAAGAAAGTTTGAATTCTAACATTTTTCAGAAACATACCATTGATGGCATTTAAAATAGTAGCTATTTTAGGTATAGTAAGCAGCTGCCTGAATTTGCTGTGCTCCTGGCCCAGACTTCAGCTCATGGCGACGTGTGATCACAGATGCAGTCTCAGTCACGCGACCCCATGAAGTTTTCCAAAGGACTCTGGAAGTTCCCTCTGACTCCATTATTTAGGAGCAACTCAAGAGGATCCACCCATCGTGAGCTTTCTGCAGGCCGAGGTTTGAAGGGAAGACTGGCATTGTGGGCTTCAGAAAGTACTAAGGAAGGTTCAGGGGCCTGCAAATTAAAATCTAGTGATCTATAAAGCCCCTATACAAATCTAGAAGTCACCTGGCCCTCACACTTTCCTTACCTGTCTTCCATTTCGCTTACCCTAGTCGAGACCAGTTGTGGTAACAGATCTCACTGTATGGTGGCTTTTCTCATGGTTAATAGGCACTGTTAAGTGCTTCCTCGTAACCATCCCAGGTCCTCCTAAGCCATCCTGGATGTGGCCACTGCTAACCACTGTCACTGGTTATGATCTATGTAGTGCAAACAGTAACCAAGTACACATCAACTTTCACATATTTTTGCCCAGCCTGGGAAGATCTCTGTTTTAGTTCTTCTTTGTCATTGATTAGTTGATAGTACTAGGCAAGTTTCATAATTTCTGTGCCTTAGTTTCCCTATCTATAAAATGGCGGTGACGGTTGTCCTTCCTAGCTCACAGGGTTGCCTGGAGGAAGGTGACAGTATGTCGTCCTTATCCACGTACAGATTCTGGTGTACCACCCCAGGGATCTTCTGGTGAGGGCTAATGGCAGCAATGTCTGTCCCCACTTGAAGGAGTCTGGGGGCTCTGGCAGTAGGAAGTGTCCTCAAGGGTGGGGTTTAGCCCAAGGTCATCTTTCTCCTCTAAGGAATACCCACTGATTTCTGAGCAGGCACCGTGCCAACCTGTCCATATGGCCTTTCAAAGCACAGCTTTTCCTAGAGCATAGCAAGCAAGGGGTGGGGGCAGTGGTCTGACATACGTCTTCATTGTGTAGTCATGCAGTGGCTGAGCTGTGGCCAAAACATCTCACAGTCCATGGAAAGGAAGCTATTGGAGTTCAGAGAATTGTCCTTGTTTGTCCAGTTATTTTTGAGTTGTCATAGACTTGTGCCCATTAATACCTGAGAGGTCTGAAGGAAGATGGCAAGTGGATTTAAAGGAATTGTAGTTAAAAACAGGCTGACCAGAACTAGGCAGGCTGCCAAGCTCTCCCTCGGTCACCAAAATGATGAGTTCATGGTGAGCAGGGCATGAGGCACATTTGCAGAGTATGGCCAGAGTACTTCCAGGCCTGCCTGTTTCGGGCCAGGAGCCATACTAGGACATGAGTGCCAAGGGCCTATTCAAGTTCTAGGCAGGGTTTTCTGTGTGTTAACACACAGGGCACCAGCTTAGCGTGGGAAGGAACATGTGATGGCTAGAGGTGGACAGCCTGGGTATTCTCCCAAGTTAGGGTGGTCCAAGTCCCCACGATTCCTGTGTGTAGGGCTGTCCGGTGTCTGGTCACTAGGAGGGCCAGTTGTTCTCACACACACGCAGTGTGGCTCCTTGGCTCCTGGCTTATACAGCTTCCTGGGGACACCAATCCAGTCTCTGCTCACACCTCCGCTAAGGATATAAGAAAAGAGAGCTTAAAAGCGTGAACTCATGAGTCTCTTCAAAAAGGGGAAAGAAGTCATGAGCCAGGCTTTATAAAAAGTAGAAGCCATTCTCCTTCTCATCTCTGCTCTCCCAAGGAAGCTTTCTGCAGCATTTGGTCCCTGAGCCTTCATGCTCCCTCCTGACTTCCTCAGCTTCCTCTGCACAGTGCCAGCGCCACCTCCTCAGGCCAGGGGCAGAGTCCATGGTTCCTTTCATTGTGTTCCCCGCCCCCTGCCCTGTCCCTTTCTAGGAAGCAGCACCACTTCCCTGCATTGGTGGCAACAGCTGCAAAAGGGTTTCTCTCACTGGCCTGTGAGCTTCTCAGAAGCGGTGTCTGGGTCTAATTCTCTTCTCCCCTCCCCCGCTACATCCCAGCACAGGGCTGTGTCTTGATCTTAGGGCCTGGGGCACTTGGGGGCGGGGGGAGCGGTTGGCAGCTGAGGCTACAAGCCATTTGGGGCCCATCAGGCCTTGTCCAGCTGGGTCAGCTTTCTCTGGGTCTTGTCCCCTACATAGGTCCAGTCCTTAATGTTACCAAAGGATTCAGAGATGGAGGATGCAGCTCTGGCCCAACATAGCCTGAGCAACCTCCTGTCCTGAGCAGAGGGCCCTAACTTAGTGTACTGAGTTCAGTCTTGTGGACTCCCAGGCCTTGCAAAAGAAAACTAGTTTCTTGGAATTGATGCCTCATAAAGGTTCCTGTGTCAGGGAGCAGGATCATTTGTTGTCAGAGAAACTGCCACCCAGTTAGAAACCATCCCACTTGTAGCTTACCCAAGAAAAAGGCTGTCAGGGCACTAAAATGCCTCCCTCTCTCCTTCCATCCATCCAGCCATCCATGCCAACATCAGTGATCCTTACTCTACACTTGGTCCCTCCCTGCCTACAAAGCTCATTCCTCCCAGTCTAATGGGTGATATACACGTGAGCAGAAGACAAGAAATTGGGCTGAGGCACAGGGACGGGACCCCTAAATTCCTTGAGGGTGGCACTGCAAGGGCTTTTGGAGGAAGGCAGAGCCTAGGCAACTCAGTCATGAGAGCAAGAAGGGATTCGTCAGACAGGAGGGCTGGGCGAGACGGAGGCAGGCTCTCCAAGGGAGCAAAATCCAGCATCTACATGCACACAGCCCTCCTGTACCCTCCTATGGAGGACGAGTGCTCTCTGAAGCCTCCTGCATTCAGGCTGAAGTGGGCAGGCCAGATTCTCAAAGTCCCCATTTTCTTCAGACACGATGACCCTGGAGAAGCTGTGTCTCTCTGAAACTGGTGGTCAGGAAAGAAGGGGTTTCCTTCCTGCTCCCTTTGCCTCTGCTCCCCTGAATTAAGGCTTGGAGGAGATGTGATGAATATGGTGGCTGGGCCTGAGAAAGCTGGTGGCTTTGACTGCTTGTTCTTGCCCACATAATGAATCAGCCTCAAGTAGAGCAACAAGGTATGGCTCTCTCTGTGGAAGAGGGTGCGTCTGCACAGCTTAGTACCTCAGTGACAGCAGAGACTTCCCTGTCCCTCCTCAATGAGAGCAGGGTCTTTGAGACCCTTGAGGCTGGGGAAGTTTGTCCAGTTTCTGGCTTCCTTTTTCCCCTTACTAGAGCTAAAGGAGATTTGAGGGACTCAAAGTTTAAGTCCAGGCTGGCCTGATGATTAAAGCAGGAAAAGTTTTCTCCAGTTTCTTAAAGCAACCTGGAATAATCCTTGCAGTATCACTTCTTTTTTTTTTTTTTTTAAAGATGACCGGTAAGGGGATCTTAACCCTTGGCTTGGTGTTGTCAGCACCACGCTCAGCCAGTGAGCGAACCAGCCATCCCTATATGGGATCCGAACCCGGGGCCTTGGTGTTATCAGCACCGCACTCTCCCGAGTGAGCCACGGGCTGGCCCTTGCAGTATCACTTCTAATCTGGCTCACCTTACTTTATTCTTACAGGAAAGGACTTTTCCATCTAGCCCACACTTACTGGAATTACTCAGAATTTGTGGTGTTTTTTAAGAGAGCACCTCAGGACATCTCTGACTGCGTGGTCCTCCCTCCACCTCCCCGTCCCTTTCTCCTCTGGGCAGCAATGATTCGTGCTGACAAATAGGAAACTGAGGCCTGTGGATGGCTGTACAGGCCAAAAGCAAGCAAGGAGTAGTACTTGTGCCTTCTCGTCCCCAGGCTAGAGTTTCTTCAGCACGGTCTCTGGGGGGATTTGGTGGTGGTGGGGAAGGATGCCCAGGTCTCAAGTCCAAATCTCAACCTTAATATTCAGTTTTCTGGAGTGAGGTCCCACCACCAGTAACTTTTTAAATTCCCCAGAAGATCTAATATGCAGCCCAAGTTGAGAATCACTATCACAGAGCAGGTGTATTTTGAAAAAGTTCCTCTGGGTTACCATGGATTCACTGAACAATGCAGACAGGATTTGGGAGAGACATAGAAAGGAGCAGAAGAGAAGCCTGTTTACCTCTTTGAAGAACACCAGAATCGGCTGCCCTTGGTTGAGCTCCACTCAGAATTGCATGGTGGAAACTTCTGCTTCTCTTTCAGTTCCTGTTTATTTGCCTCCAAGCCTTTGGTGATCATGGCATCTACCTGGGTCAGTTCTGGGGTAGGCAGCCCATCCTCTCCGTAGAACCTTCCTATCACCCTTCCTGTGGTGACAGGAAAGCTGATGTCAGAGTAACAGTGGGAGTGAGGTATGAGCAGATGTTTAGGTTCTCAAGCAGTTGTAGCCAGGCTCAAGTTTCCAGGGTTTCTTAACTTCAGGGCTTTACAGTAGTCTGCTGGGTGCTCATTTATGAAGCATTCGTATTGGAGGGGCTTCTGGTGCCTTCTATCCCAGCCTCTCTCAACATCCTTCAAGACCCAAGATAAAAGCATCCCTGCTCTAGTGGAGAGTCCCGTAGTAGAGAAATTATCCAATTGTTCTCACTTCCAGACATGGGTTACCTGAGGGTGGAACCGTGTGTGATTTATTTATCAAATCTCCACAGTGCTTGGTTTTCAAAAAATGATGAATGAATGGCTTATTGGCTAACATTTTTGTGGCTAAATTCTTCCCAACATCAAATTATTTTGTCTTATATAACTATAAATAAGTCACTTATTGAGCATTTACTCAGTATCAGGCACTATGCTAGCACTTTACCAATATTTTTAAAATCCTTGTAACAAACTTATGAGAGAGAAATCATTGTTCCCATATTCATAGGAGAGACCGGAAGATCCAATAAGGTGGGGACGTCTGTGAAGCTAACCATGGTTCTGGCTCCAGGCCCATGCTCTCCCAACACCGCTCTCTTCTGGCTCAGTTCTTCAGTGGACATAAGTGAGTGGAAACTGGTTTACATTTAAAATGTCTGTCAGAATTTGTAAAAGTCTAAGCTTTGGCAGCAGCCAGCAAGTAGTCCATCAGCCTATAGACCAGAAACAAAAAGGGATCAGTTTTCCTTGGGTGCAGGGAACTAACGTATCCAAGTCCTGAGGTGCAAACGGCCTTCACAGGCAGCACCCGCACAGGGCCAGAGCAGCAGCAGGAAGCACTTACGTGAGGTTTGACCAAGGATGAGTACAGCGTACACTTGCCCCCAGCTGTGTAGTTCCAACCACTGCAGTCCCTGAGAACTGACTTGAACTTAGATTCCTATGTCATGTACGTTCAGCATGTCCAAGAGTCAGTTCATACTCTCAAGTCCAACTCCCTTCCCTGACTTTCCAAGATCTAATTGTCACCTCTGGCCTCAGTCATCTGGATTAGGAGCCTTGGATCTCTCCTCCTCCTCCATATCCAAATGTATGCCTCCCTCTGCTCATGTCTAATCCATTAGCAAATCTTGTCAGTCCTGCCTCTAAAATAGAACCTGACTCTGTCCATTCCTTTCCATTTCCATTGCTACCATCCTAATCCAAACCATGGACTGTGACAACAGCCTCCTAACTGGTCTTTCTGCTTCAGCTCATGCCTTCCCACAAGAAGTATGGATGTTTCCTACAAAGCAGCTGGGGTGATCTTTTAAACACTTCTGTACCTGATTGAAATCCTCCGATGGCTTTCTAAAGCAGGTGGACAAAATACAAACTTCTTATCTAGGTCTCTTAGGCTCTGCAACCGTTTGACTTGTTTCTTCTTCAGCGCCTTGTTAAGCCACTTCCTCCCTCTTTTACTGCAGGCTCCAGCACACTGATTTCCTTTCTGTTCCTTGACCAGCCTTCACTGCCTCACCCCTCAGGCACTTACTTCTCTTCCCTCAGCCTGGAACACTTTTCCAAGGTCTCAGCTTAACTGCCATCTCCTTCATGAGGCCTCCCCTGACCGTCTGCTCTGAAAGTGCCACCCCCCCACCCCCCCGCCAAACACGCAACACATCACAGTTTTATTCATAGCCCTATCTGGAGTTGTCTGATCTGTTTACTTGTTTATGATACGTCTGTCCCCACAGTGAGGCCCTGCACTCAGTAAAGCTTAGCACAAAACATTTGTTTTAAATACTTCTTAGATGAATAAATGAAAGAATCAGGGCCCTAGTCACAGACCTGCATTCTATGAGTTGGCCTGGCACAGAACTTTCCACTACAGAGAGGCTCTGTATTATATGGTGAAAAGCCTGTCTTGGTGACTTTCAGACATGAGACCCAAAAAGAGGAGAGTAGGAGTAGAGGCAACAGAGAAAGAATTCTAGTAGCTGGATCATGAGAATGGTAGTCACCACTGGCTGAGTCTCCAAGCCAAATCTGTATCCAGAGCATAACAAAAGCCATTTCCTTTTACTTGAGGCCTGGCCATATGGCTACCAAGATGGCATCCTGATGATCTTTACCTCAGTGTGCACCCTTACAATAAACCTTCATCCCCCGATGTGTCCCAAGGGTTTCTAGTGACCTGAAAGAGACCAACACACTCCCTATCCTACAGAATGAGCTAACAGAGGGCAGAAACGGTACTCAACTCATCCCTGATTCCCATGAGGAATAGAACTTAACTGTAGTCTTCAAATATATTCTGACTTTAACTAAAATCCTTCTGAGGCATTTTTGACCACGTGCCCCACCTTGAACAACCAGCTCATGCCCAACACATTACATATTCAGATGAGACTAGTTTACTTGTCTCACCAAACACATCAGGAATACTTCTAGTTTGCTCCCCAAATATCAGTACGAAGTTTTTGGTCCAGCATCCTTTCTCCATCACAGGACTCCATTCTTTCTCTTTTGTGTTGGGTTCTCTTTTCTTTATTAACCCAGCAATGTTTCAACCTTGGTGTGGCAATCTCATGGGGAAAAGGAAGAACCAAGCCCTATGAAGCGCAGATGGATAGAAGTCAGTTTATTCGATGGCAGACATGGTTGTGGTCTCAGGAATGATCTGGAGCAGACTGAGGAAAAACAATGAAGGGCATGCCCCAGGTTGGGATGACGAAGGCCAATAATGGATGGGGTGGGCAGTGGAGATAGAAAGGCACAGACTTCAGATGTTATGAAAAAGCCTTGACCAATTGGATGTGAAGGCAGCAGAGGAGTTAGTAAAAATGCTAGGGTTCTCAGAAAAGGGAACCCAATCAGTAATGACAGAAGCAGACATTCAGAGGCATTAGGAGCAGAGAAAAAACTTGTAATTTAGACCTGTTCCAATAGTGAAGTGACACTGGGATTCCTCAGGAAGTTAGCCGTGTCCAAGTGGGGCTCCAGTGAGAGGTGGAGCTGCAGATAGATGAAATAAAGGGCTCCAACCATCCCAGCTTTAAGTGCTTGCAAAGCAATCTAGTGTTTAGTGTCTTTACCATTGCCTAAGGACTCTGTTAGGTGTCTTCCATGTAAGAGGTGAGTTCCCTCATTATAACCAGTGTAGGGCAGTGCCCTAACTGATGGCTTTACCAAATGTTTGATTAGCATAACTTCCACCTGGGAGACAGTTCATTCAGATTGTTTATCTCCTCAAAGGGCAAAATAAAAAGGAATTTGTCACAACACACAAATTTAGGCTCCAAGCATTCCTCATTGTGTGCTGAAGTCAGATGCATGGAACACAGTGAGAAAGGGAAGCTGCCCTCCTAGAGCTGGTTGTTCAAGGATGATACAGGTAAGCACTGGCTTTGGGGCAACTGAGGGCAAAGCAAACGGCTTGGCAATCCTCTCCCAAGTTAAGAGTGAGGGAAACAGGGCTGGCCGGTTAGCTCATTCTGTAAGGCGTGGTGCAGATAACACTAAGGTCAAGGGTTTGGATCTCCTTAAAGGCCAGCTGCCAAGAACAAACAAACAAAAAGGAGTGAGGGAAACAGGTGCCCCATCCATCTCCTCCTATGGTTTACTGCCACACTAACAACCAGAGTTTTTATTTTTATCATTTATTTATTTATTTTTTAATTTCTTGGAACACTTCATGAATTTGTGTCATCCTTGTGCAGGGGCCATGTTAATCTTCTCTGTATTGTTCCGATTTTAGTATTATGTGGGGCCAAAGCGAGCACACAACCAGAGTTTAAAGTGAAAGATCCAAGGCTATTTTTCAGATTTTAACCTTCAGCCCAATCCCTAAAGAATCCCAGCCCCTTTAAAAAAAAACAATGCAAGACAACCGAATGAAGTCAATGGAAAAATGACCTGTGAATTACATACCAACAGATACATAATTCTTCTCGTAGAATGAAAGCCAATTTTGAAGTGTTAACAACTCAGAGAATGACAAGTCGGATACATCATCCACAAGGCCTGCTTCAGAGTAGTCCCCGGTCACAAATGCTCTAGATGCGTCTCGGCCTGCAGGGGAGAAGTTTCCAACAAATTAAGTTGTAAATCACTATCAACTCAAGAATCTGAAAATCATCTCCTGACGATCCCCATTCCCCACCCCCGAGGGAAATGTGATCCTCCTCCTTCTCTGTAACAAAGGCTCCTGAACCTTGGACACACATTTCTTTGGCATTTGTCACATTCTTTCATTTACTTTCAGCAACATTTAACACAGCTGACCACCTCCTTTGGCTTCCATGACACTACACTCCTGTTTTTCCTCCTACCTCTCTAGCTCCTCATTGTCTACCAGCCTCAGGGATCAATTTATTGTCCACCACCTCTGTTCTGTCCACACCCTCTCACTTCACAGTCTCATCCACTCCTGTGGTTTCAAATCCCACCTCTATGCCCCAAATCGCCAAATCTATATCTTTAGCTCAGACTTCTCCTGAGCACTTGACCTGTATATCCAACTGTCTACTCAACATCACTTAGATGTATTACAGACATCATAAATGCAAAATGTCCAAACCAAACTAATGGTCATCAGTACCGCCAGCCTCAGGAAACCTGTGTCCTCTCTAGTATTCCCTATGTCAGTAAATGTCAACCAGTTACACAATACAGGAATGCAGTCCTTGGCACTTCCTTCATCCCTCACATCCAATCAGTCAGCAAGTCCTATACTTTCTCCCTAAATAGTTTTTTTTCTTTTTTTTCTTCCCAGGGAGGTTGGGGAGATGGCTGGTCAGTACAGGGATTGAACTCTGGACACTGGTATTACCATTACCTCACGCTAACCAATTGAGCTAACTGGTCAACCCCTAAATAGTTCTTGTATCAGTCTACCTGTCTCCACTTACCACTAAGTAAGCCCAGGCTGCCATCATCTCTCATCTGAACTATTACAGTAGACCCCTAGTCGGTCTCCCCCCATTCATTCTTGCCCCATTAATCTATTCTTCATATAATATTTAGACTGGTATTTTAAAAACAGATTTATCATGTCATGCCCTGGCCTAAAAATCCTCCATGTTTTCCCTTTGCCCTGTAACAAATTCCTTCAGATGTCATTCAGTGCCCTGCACCAGCTGCCACCAACCTTGCCTTGCCACATTGTTTGCTGTGCTCCTTTTCACTCTCTCCTCCTCCCCCACTAGGTTAATTGTTTGTGTGATATCTATTTAATGTCTGTCTTTTCTACTGTAAGTTTTATCAGGGAAAAGAACACACCAAACATTTAATATTAATTCCCCAGTGCCTGCTACAGTGCTTGATCTTTAGTAAATTCCCAATACTGAGTGAATGAAATCTACACATTTACAGCCAACTAATTTTCTTTTTTTTTTTTTTTTGTCTTTTTGTCTTTTTTCCGTGTCCGGCAACGGATCGCAACCCTCAGTGTTGCCCCCGTACCGGACCGGGGACCGGCGACGGGATCGCAAGCCTCGGCGTTGCTCCCGCGCCTCGCTCAGCCAGTGAGCGGGAGCCGGTCCGTACGTGGGATCCGAACCCTCGGACGGGAGCGCTGCCGCGCTTCCCAAGCGGCGCACTATCCAGTGCGCCACCGGGCCGGCCCCTACAGCCAACTAATTTTCAATAAGGGTGCCAAGATAATTCAATGAGGCAAGAATAGTCTTTTCAACAAATGGTACTGGGACAACTGAATAGCCACATGCAAAAGAATAAATTGGACTCCTGCCTCACACCATATACAAAAATGAACTCCAAATAGATTAATGACCTAAGTGTATCAGCTAAAACTATAAAACTCTTACAAGAAAACATAGCTGCAAATCTTTGTGACCTTGGGTTGAGCAATGGTTCCTTTTTCTTTTTTTTTTCTTTTGGTGGCTGATTGGTACCAGGATCCAAACCCTTGAGCAGTGATTTCTTAGAATATTAAAAGCACAAACAGCCAAAGAAAAAATTGATAAATAGGACTTGATCAAAATTTAAAATATTTGCATATCAAAAAATATGATCAAGAAAGTGAAAAGAGGGGGCCGGCCCAGTGGCGCACTGGATAGTGCGCCGCTTAGGAGGCGTGGCAGCGCTGCCGCCCGAGGGTTCGGATCCCACATACAGACCGGCTCCCGCTCACTGGTTGAGCGAGGCGTGGGAGCAACACCGAGGTTTGCAATCCCGTTGCCGGTCCCTGGTCCGGTACGGGGGCAACACTGAGGGTTGCGATCCGTTGCCGGACGCGGAAAAAGACAAAAAAAAAAAAAAGAAAGTGAAAAGAGGGGGCCGGCCCAGTGGCGCACTGGATAGTGCGCCGCTTAGGAGGCGTGGCAGCGCTGCCGCCCGAGGGTTCGGATCCCACATACAGACCGGCTCCCGCTCACTGGTTGAGCGAGGCGTGGGAGCAACACCGAGGTTTGCAATCCCGTTGCCGGTCCCTGGTCCGGTACGGGGGCAACACTGAGGGTTGCGATCCGTTGCCGGACACGGAAAAAGACAAAAAAAAAAAAAAAGAAAGTGAAAAGAGGGCTGGCCAGTTAGCTCAGTTTGTTAGAGCATGGCCTTGTAACTCCAAGGTCAAGGGTTTGGTTCCCCATACTGGCCAGCTGCAAAACAATAACAAAAACAAAAAAACAAAAACAAAAAAACTTTACAAAATGGGAGAAAATATTTGCAAATCACATATTTAATTAGTGTCTAGTACCCGTAATATATGAAGAACACTTACGACTCAATAAAAAAACAACTCAGTTAAAAAATGGACAAAGGATTTGAATAGACATTCCTCCAAAGAAGAAGTCAACAAGCATATGAAAAGATGCTCAACATCATTAGGCATTAGGCAAATGCAAATAATCAAAACTACAATGAGACCACTTCAAACCCACTAGCGTGACTATAATAAAAAAGACATTAACAAGTTTTGGTGAGAATGTAGAGAATCTAGAACTCTAATACATTCATGGTGGGAATGTACAATGGTTCAGCCACTTTAGAAAACGATTTGGCAGTTTCTCAAAAAGTTGATTATAGTTACTGTATGACCCAGCAATTCCACTCCTAGGTATATACACCAGAGAACTGAAAACATATGTTCACACAAAAACTTATACACAAATGTTTATCACAGCATTATTTATAATAGGCAAAAAGTAAAAACAACCCCAAAGTCCATCAACTGATAAAGAGAGAAAATGTGGTATATTTATACAATGGAAGATTATTTAGCCATAAAAAGTGGTGCAGCATTGATACATGCTGATACACTATGGATGAACCTTGAAAACATCATGCTAAGTGAAAGAAGCCAGTCACAAAAGGGCCACATGTATGATTTTATTTATATGAAATGCCGGGAATAGGCAAAGCTATAGAATAGAACGTAGACAGTGGTTGCCAGGGGTTGGGGGTAGGAGGGGATGGGGACTGATTGCTAGTAGACATGCAGTTTCTTTGTCGGGTGATGAAAACGTTCTGGAATTAGATAGTGGTGATGTTTGTAGAAGTTTCTGACTATATTAAAAACCACTGAATTGTATACTTTAAAAGGGCAGATTTTATATTATGTGAATTATATCTCAAAAAAAAAATATTGACTGAATGAACAAGTGAACATATCTGCTTCCCTACTGGACCATGTGGGCAGTGGGACCATGTTATTGACCTCTCTGGTTCCTCAGCACCTGGCATAAGGAGGGACACATGGTAATGGTCAATAAAAGAACGTTGAATGGCACCCGGCACACAGGAACTCGGACAGTAGAGCACATTGCAAAAGAAAAATCACCCCAGAAATGAAAAGTTTTAGGCCCACATTTGTGCATACATCCATGACAGCTGCCATCAGCATGTGGCAGGACAGTGCACCAAAAAGTGCCCTCAACTGGGAGGTACAAAAAACGATTCCAGTCCCAGCTACGTTTCTAACTGACGGTGTAGCCCTGAGTAAGTCCTTTCCCCTGCTGCACTGTGTGAGGAGATTGGCAAGACTTACTGGAATTAATTCCTTCTCTGTTAGTGTTTCTATTTCTTCTTTTTTTTTAAGATGACCGGTAAGGGGATCTTAACCCTTCACTTGGTGTTGTCAGCACCACGCTCACCCAGTGAGCAAACCGGCCATCCCTACATAGGGATCCAAACCCATGGCCTTGGTGTTGTCAGCACCGCACTCTCCCGAGTGAGCCACGGGCCGGCCCTAACTGGACCTCTTTCCTGTGTCCAACCTCATTATCTTTTTTAAGAAGGGCAGTTAAGTGCATCTATACTACAAGCAAGAACGACTCAAACCAAATATACTATTTTTAGGGGATTAGATTGGGGTCGACTGAAGAGATGGACTTAGTAGGGGAGCTGTGCGGGCATGAACAGGGTCTCATTCATCTCTACGCCCTGAGAGCCTCGCAGAAGTCTGGTAAGCAGGTATCCCCAGGCTTCAGACGGTGGATAATGTCACTAACAAGAGCAGCAGATATGTTTCTCGAACACAAGTCACACAGAACGGTGAGGAATGACAGGGAGGGTAATAGCTGGCCGTGGTCCCGCCCGAGCCAGAGACCAGAAGGATGGTGCAGCTGGGTCCCGCCCGCCGCGCCGGTCTGATGAATGGAGAGGTGGGGAAAGAGCGGGAAGCATATGAATAAATGAATGAAGGACGTGCGGGCGGCGGAGGAGGAAAAGGAGTGAGCAGCCCAGCTGATACCTGCGAAGCCGCTATAGTGGGCCCCAGGCTCGTAGTGCCTCCGGCCAGAGGACACATCGTAGACGCGGCCGAGCAACGCCAAGTAGAGGCCAGGATCCCCTGGGCCGCCGCGATAGCGGGCCAGCTCCTCGGGTATGAAAAGGCGAAAGCCAGCGCGGAGACCCCACCAGCCCATCAGCCGTGCTGCCAGCACCGCCGCCGCCGCTACTGCCAGGCCCAGCAAGAGCCCGAGTCTGCAGAGCTGCAGCATTTAGCCGCACCCACGCCTCACTCCCGCAGCTAAGATGGAGGAGACGCCGGCCGTGACGTCACCAGCGCGACTCTCTCTCCCTCGCTCTCTCAAAGTCTTTCGTGAAAAGCTCACTCCCTGACCGCGACTCTTTCTCGTGCTTTTTCAGCACAGCCTGTGATGCCGAGAAAGGGGAGCAGCCGCGAAAGGCCTTGGTCGGCTGGCTGTGTGCCCCCAACAAAGATGGCGGCAGAGGAGGCTGTGAGATGACGTAGAGGTTATGACAGACGCGCCTCTTGGAAATCGGGGTTCCACCCTTTGCTGCGGCTGTCCTAGCCTAGCTGTCGTGAGCTGGTAGAGTCCGCTTGATGGTGCCCTTGCGACAGCGTCCTCACTTGACAGCCAGGAAGCCGGAAGTCTCCCCGTCCCCCTCTCTGTCCCCGCCTGCCGGGTGCTGTCGGAGGTTGACAGGTCGAGGCGGGGAGGCGGCGGCGGCGGCAGAGCCGGGCGCCCAAGACGGAGGCAGCATGGGGAACGCTCCGAGTCACAGCAGTGAAGACGAAGCGGCAGTCCCCGGAGGCGAGGGCTGGGGCTCGCACCAGGACTGGGCCGCGGACTCGGGCACGACCCCCGGCCCGGGCCCCGCGGCGCCGGCGCTGCCTCCCGCCGCGGCGCTGCTGGAACCAGCCCGGCTGCGAGAGGCGGCCGCTGCGTTGCGGCCCGCACCGCCCTGCGAATCGCTGGTGTCGAGGCACCACGGCGCGCTGTTGCGCTGGCTGGAAGAGCGGCTGGGCCGCGGCGAGGAGTCTGTCACCCTGGAGCAGTTCCGGGAGCTGCTGGAGGCTCGTGGCGCCGGCTGCTCGGGCGAGCAGTTCGAGGAGGTCAGGGGCGGCTGACGACGGCGGGGCGGGGGCAGGGCGGTAGCCCCGAGGGCGAGAAGAGGTGGACGGTTGCTTTGGAGAGGCCAGGCAGGAACCCATAGGGTCCGCAGGTTCTTAGAATGGGAGCATGGGACCCAGCCTGGTCACTCTGGGCGCTTGCTCAGTCTCTCTTTAACCTTTTTTAGAAGTGTGGAAAGCCCAGACTAGGTCGTCCTTGCTCTGAAGAGCTGGACAAGCCCCGATGTCTGTGCAAGTTGTTGTAGTGCGGACATTTGTGCACTTGACTGACGCTGGATCAGCTGTTCTCTGGAGCTTCTTTAGGCTCCAGAACAGTTTAAAAGAAAGGTGTAAGGATCAAGGAAGTGGCAGTGAAAAACATTCTGTTTTATTGGTCTGTGCAGGTTTTTGCAGAGCATCTTCCGAATCCAGTGTGGGCGCCTAATAAATGTGGAAGAACAGTAATATGTACTGGAAAGACATTCTAAAAGCCAGTCTCACGATGCAAAACTTGCTTTTTCAAAATACACATTTGTTTTTAGATCCTTAAAGAACCATATCGTAGACTCAAACCCTCACAGGACCCAAAACTGATAGGCAAATACCAGGTTTTCTGTGAATACTTGTAATTACATAATTTTTTACATAATCACTAACATCATCACTACTAAGTCACTAACAGAGCAAATTGATTTGGCAACAAAATATTTTCCTTGGAAGAGATCTTAGGAATTTTCTGTACTGAACATTTCGTTTAGAATTGAGAAGAGACTGATCCAGGGTCACCCAATGAATCACTGGCAAAACAGACCATCACTCAGATCTGTTGATGGCTTATTAATTTTTATTGTTTCAGTGGCTGGCCAGTAAGGGGATCTGAACTCTTTACCTTGGTGTTAAAACACTGTGCTCTAACCAACTGAGCTAACCGGCCAGTCTGATTTTTTTTTTAAGCATCCCACTACCTCCTTCCTGGGATCCTATTTCTTTAACTCCACAATGTTATGACAAAAAGGTGCTTAATTAGTGAAACTGAGTAAGCCATGTAGAATCTTCAGTATCAGTGATGAGTACGTGAATAAAGCAGTAAACCAGCGGGTACTTGTAATGCCATTAAAAGGTTTTGTTCTCTTTAAAACTAGAGGCTTTTGAAATATTTTAAGAATGTTTACCTGTACATGGCCAGAATTCACATAATGTAGTTCGTATGTTTATGTTTGCCCTTAAAAAATATCTTTAAGGCATCCTTATTCTTAAAAATATTGTTAATATTAGTCAGTGAAAGGTCTCTTTTTTTTTTTAACCCAAGAATACACGTGATACTTTCATTCCAGTACCTATATGTATCATAAGAACATGAAGTGGTGGAAGAAAGATTCGTGCAGATCTCCTCAAGGAGTTGGCACATTTCTGATTTGTCTAAAGGTGAATGGAGAGAAACAATATTTACACTGTGAGAGTGTCTGACAGGGCTAGAACTTGACAGAGCTGTAAACTGGAGTTTACAGAAGTCCCTTTATATAAGGCCAAGAAATCCTCGAGGCGTGGTCTAGAAATCACTCAAGGGCTGTGGCATTATACATTCATTCATTGAGCAAATATTTGTTGTGCATGAAGTATGTGCCAATCACTTGGATGACATAGCAAGTGGACAAGGCAGATTCTTGCTCTTAAAGAGTATGTAGTGTGGTGGAAGAGACAAATATTAACCCAGTAATTATAGGTGTGGTGAATGTTATCCAAGGGAAAGTGTAAGGAGTAAATAACGAGTGAATTTAGCCTCATCTAGGGAGTCAAGCAAGACTTACCTGAAAAAAATCAACATTTCAGCCCATATTTGAAGGGTGAAAAAGACAAGGAACAGGAGGTGGTAGCAGTGTTTCAGGCAGAGGGAATTGCATGCACAAAAGTCCAAAGTCCAGAGAATGGAGAATCTCGAAGAAGTCTGGTATGGTCTATTAGAGTTAGACAAAACTGCTTTGAGGGACAGAAAACCCAGTGTATCAGTGGTTTAAATAAAAAGGGAGCTGCTTTCTTTCTTTTTTTTTTTGCTGGCCAGTAGAGGGATCCAAGAAACTGCTTTCTTGTGTTAAAGTCCAGGTAGGCAGTTCACGACTGATATGGCAGTTTCGTAATCATCAGGGACCTGACTTCATCCATCTTATTATGCTGTCATCTTCCACAGACACCTTCTACTTAGTGATCCAATTGATTCCTCCTGCTGTCACTTTCCACATTCCAACAAGCAGGAAAGAGAAAAGAGGAGAGGGCCACACGCCTTCTCTTAAGGGCATAGCTTACATCCCATTGGCCCAGACTTAGTCACAGGGCCACACTTAGCTGCAAGAGATGCTGGGAAAGATCCTTCATAGCCATATATTCAGCTAAATCAGGATTTAATTACAGAAGAAAAGGAGAGCAAATATTGGGTTACAGTAAGAAGTCCTTCACTTAAATGGCTAGATCATAGAATGCTGTGTGGGCTGGCCGGTTAGCTCAGTTGGTTAGAGCGAGGTGTTATAACACCAAGGTCAAAGATTCGGATCCCTGTACCAGCCAGCCACCCCACTACCCCCACCCCCAAAACAAAACATAGAGTGCTGTGGGTGAGGCTTAGCCAAGGTGTAAAAACCTGATTGCAATAATCTTAACCATGGTTGTCTTGTGTATAAATAAGTATTAGCCATGCATTTGATTCTGTGCTTTAGCAATAAGTCTGTCCTTAGACGTGAATAAGTATATACTTCTGTGTATACTTACACAATGCTACATTGTTAATTCTACATCTAAGATTCTGAAAATGTATCGTGATATTTTAATAAAAGTTTAAGGGTTTTTGTCAAATAATAATAAAATAACAACTAAAATGTCAAGTTGTTTCCCTTCATTCATTTTTCTAGGAGCTAGCGTGGTAGAGCAGGTTATCATTGGTGTACATGATTTTTATTATCATGCTAAGAGTTTCCAAGTGCTACATGTTTGTTCTTTGGCTTCCTTATTTATGTTACCATCCATGTCCACCCAGGTGTCTTGCCTTCACGTTCTCGTGAACTTAGTTGCTTGAGATGGTGTCATAAAGACGTTCTTGGAGTTGTACCATGGACCCAAGTCTGAAATGTTCCCATTTTATAGTACAGCACACCTTTTCTCATGATAGGTGTGGTTCAGGAGAAGGACGCTTTGGTTTGCTCACAGGGAGCAATATTTAGTTGACTTCTATATAGAAGAGAAATAGAGTTAAAATTAAATTCTTATTTGACATCAGAGATTAGCGATTAAATATTTGTGCTCTTAATATGGTATTAAATTAGATATTTGTGCTCTTACACTTCTAGAAAATCATGTAGGCTCTAGGGCAGAAAAAAGTTGTAGCACAGGATGACAGCAGATGGCTTTAAGGTGAGAGTTAATATGAATAGGTCTTATTTTATTAATTTGCCATATTAGCTTTGGTGCCTACTTTGTGAAATTCATTGTGTTGTAAACTCTGAGGGAAGGGCCATTTTGATTCATCTCTGTTCATCATCTTAGCACATCCCTGGCTCATGGCCAGTGCTCGGTGTTTCCCCCATAGTGCCCTCGGAGATTTAGCCGGCTGAAGAAGATGCAGTTCTCACACTCCAACCTCATATTCATATTTCATACTCAGTCTGCAACTTTTTAATAATAAGATGTTTCTTGACATTGGAGGAAATGGTTCAATATAGTTTTAGTGAAAACTTACAAAGGTTCTTAGTCACTGTTGGGTTTAGAGGAAATTTGGAGAAAAGCCCTAATGCCCATGTCAAAAATATTAATCAACTAATTTAGAGTGGCGTTGAGCCCAAGAACTGTGCAAATAGAATTGTGCAGATGTAATTCTATGCCCTGTTAAGACAGAGTGTGAGAGATATGTATTTGCACCATATGGTTGCAGCAGACTACAAGCATTGCTTACCCTCAGCTTGAACCTTTGGCTCCTCACTGCCTGAAGGACCAAATGCGTATTCCTCTGATGGATAGGAACTCCCAGGCTAGCCTATCTCACTCTCTTACCTCATCTGCCTCTGCCGCCTGCACAAGCCATGTACTAGCCAGTGGTATGCCTGCCTTGTCCTGTGTGTGGACCTTGCTTCTCTCAGTTCTTCAAGATTCCCCACCTTGGCAGCATCACCTGGTCAGCACCAAGCTTTCCTGTGGCATGA